ACTCCGAATGATCTCCCCCAGCGGCTTCATGTAGATGTTAAATAACATCGGGGACAGGATTGAACCCTGTGGAACTCCACACAACAACCCAATAACACCTTCTGGGACCGTCCCTCAAGAAAGGATCGGAGCCACTGCAAGGCAGTGCCCCCGAGCCCCATATCTATGAGGCGTCCCAGGAGGATACCGTGATCAACGGTATCAAAGGCCGCCGAGAGGTCCAGCAGAACTAACAGGGACACACTCCCCCTGTCAAGCTCCCGGCGCAGATCATCTACCAAGGCGACCAAGGCTGTCTCAGTACCATGTCCCGGCCTAAAGCCAGACTGTGCCGGATCTAGATAATCAGTGTCTACCAGAAACCCCTGGAGTTGTGTTGCCACCACACGTTCCATGACTTTGCCCAAATAGGGGAGATTGGAAACTGGCCGATAGTTGTCGAATTGAGTGGGATCCAGTGATGGTTTCTTCAATAGCGGTTTTATAATAGCTTGTTTTAAGCTCGCTGGAAACTTTCCCTCTTGTAAGGAGGCATTAACCACCATCTTCACCCACTCTGCCAAACCCCCTCTGGCTTCCTTTATCAGCCAGGATGGGCAGGGGTCTAGGATGCATGTGGTAGGCCGCACCTCTCCAAGGATCCTGTCCACATCCTCAAGCTGAACCAATTGAAATGAATCCAACAAAACTGGACAAGCAGATGCTCTCGTTACATCCCCAGAGACTGCTGTTAATATGGCATCAAAGCCCGACCGAATCCGCGCAATTTTATCCGCGAAGAATCGAGCAAATGCCTCACAGCGAGCTACCGTGTTATCAGGGGCCTCGCTTTTCGGCGGATTTAACAGACCCCTGACAACTCGGAACAGCTCAGCTGGACGGTTCTTCGCAGATGCAATGTTGGCGGCAAGAAATGTTTTCTGTACCGCTGCTATCGCCACACCGTAGGACCTTAGGAAGGCATTCAGGTGTGTTTGGGCAGGGTTGGTGGGGTTCCGGCACCACACGAACTCTAGCCTCCTCTTCTTTCGCTTCATCGCTGCCAGCGCCTCGGTAAACCAAGGATCAGGTTTAGCTCGGTTACTCGAGAGGGGGCGTTCCGGAGCGATTGTGTCGATTGCCCTGGTCATTTCCCTATCCCAGCGAGAGACCAAGACATCGACAGAGTTGCCAGCCAAGAAGGTGGAGAATTCCCCAAGAGCTGTCAGGAAGCCTTTTGGCTCCATAAGCCTCCTGGGGCGGACCATTCTAATAGGTCCACCACCCCTGCGGAGGTTAGGAGATGCAGTGAGTCTAAACCTGATCAGATGGTGATCGGTCCATGGCAATGGAGCGATGGTCAGCTCCTCCACCCCGTCACTTTCACCCCATCCTTGAGAGAAGACCAAATCCAGTGTGTGCCCGGCACTATGGGTGGGACCAGATACTAATTGGGACAGGCCCATGGTTGCCATGGCGGCCATGAAGTCCTGAGCTGCACCCGTAAGAGAGGTCTCGGCATGGACATTGAAATCCCCCAAGACTACAAGCCGTTGGAAGCTCAATGCCAAGTCCGAGACCACTCCCGCTAGCTCAGGTAAGGAGACTGTTGTGCAGCGGGGTGGTCGGTACACCAACAGAATCCCTATCCTGTCCCGGTCACCTATCCTAAAGCCGGCACACTCAAAAGAAGATGACTGTGGGATGGGGCACCTGATCAGGGGAATACAAACCTTATAGACCACTGCGACTCCGCCTCCCCGCCCTCCAAGCCTTGGTTGGTGCTGAACGGAGTAACCCGGCGGACAGAGTTGGGAGAGATTTACCCCTCCCCCCTCGTCCAACCAGGTCTCCGTTATACAAGCCAGGTCAGCTTGTTCTTCCAGGATTAGATCTTGAATAATGGAAGTTTTCCCATTTACTGACCTGGCATTGAGCAGCACCACCTTTAGCCTGGAGGGGCCACCAACCTGGCACCTCAGCTGTATCTTGTCAGGAGAGTGTTTTGGAGTTGTCAATAAGCCATTGCTAATTTCGGGCCGAATGGGTTGTTGAGATGTGGTTTGAGTGATCTTTGGAATTGCCAATATTCTATTATGAATTTTGAGACGGATTTGTTTATATCTGGGATTGCTTGGGTTTGCCAATTTATTGTTATAAATTTTGGGCCAAAATGGATCTTTTGTTCTCCCTTTCCCGTATCTCCCTCTACCTGTCACCACCTCTATGGTGGCCCCCCCCCCCACCCACGGAATCACCACCCCCGGGGAAGTTCCCTCCATTCTCCTCTGTTGTTGATCCGACTGTCAGCATTTGATAACAGATATTGTTATGATTACACATAGCTAGATCCCGGCCTTCCCGCCCCTTAATACATCCTGTTCCTTTCACTATGCCAAGGATCGTAAAGTGCACTTGTATAGGTAGTTGATAAGTTGTCAAGAGCAACACAATTGGCATAAGTGGTGACATAAGGCGTAAAGTGCAGATAGTTAACAGTATGTGTGATTGGTTCTAAAGTGACAGTGCAGGACAGTGCATTTGTTTCAAAGTGCTATAGTAACAGTAACAATTCGATCATAGATATGGTAATTTAGACCAATCAAGTTGATGGCGCGGGTTCTGGCAGATTAGAAGATTAAAAAAGGGACTGTAAAGTGCTCGGGCTAGAGTGCCTTAGTGCAGGAGCCAGTTCTGTAATTCAAAGTTAATGTCTCTGAGAATAAAGTCCAGGTCACTCAGTCAGGGGCAGTCAGTTCAAAATCATGGGAGCCCAGCTTCTTGGCCACGTGAAGAACAAGCCGGCAGCCAATGGTCAGGTCCCACGTTCTTCTTGGCTGTCCAGAAGAGATGATGGAGATGATAACGGCAGAGATGGTACAATGAAGACAATAACTGGGTTTCTGATGGTAAAGCAGCACTGGCTGTCAACACAATATTCCAAGTTGTGTGAGATGATGTAACTTGCACCACTCGGCTCAGCCAGAGAGGGCAGTGTGGGACAATTAGCTAAATCTTAAGTCTGAGGGCACTGATGGTAAAGCAGCAATAACGCTGAGTCATGAGGCGGACATGTCTTCCGGTCGCTGTTAGGTCCTGTGCGTCCGCGGCTATGGTGTTGTCAAATTGATGTCAATTTGATGTTAACAATATTGACACCACACAGCACAGGCCCAGCAAGATGATTGGGAGCGCGGAGGAGAAAGCGCGGGGCCTCCACCTCCGCCAGGAATGGAAGCGCGGAGGAGGAAGCACGGAGGAGGTACCAAAATGGAGGCGCAGGGACGCACGGCAGACTCAGCCCGGTCGCAGAGGGGTCGCCAGAATCACGCTGGAATCTGAGATGGCAAGTCTAGCAATTCGGCGGCTCCGGCCGCTCAAAAATCTGCGAGCTGCGAGCTGGAAAACGCAGCAACGGGCCGATGAGTACCGCAATCCACTCCAGTCTCGGCACTCCAATGGCCTGCCTCCAGCCGGTCTAGGCCCGCAAATTAGGTCGGGAACCACAGCCAAACCCACAGCTCACTGACCGTGGAAGCACGGCCGTCCCGGTTTTCCCGATCACATTAGCCACTGCAGCGGACTGGCAAGCTGGCGAGCTGGGTAAGTCTAAGCAAGCTGACTGGAAGATTGGAGGCTGGGAGGGAGCGTGCTCAGGCCGTGATGGTGGTGGCCTTCGCTCTACCTCCTTCCTCTCCTTCCTCTCCCCTCCTTCTTCTACCTTTTCCTCTGGTTTCCCACACCAGTCTGCCCCCCAAGACCACCTTCGGGGCCCTGAGGAGTTGCCGGATACGGGAGCAGTCAAGGGACGTCGGGATGGGGAAGGACAGTGGTGATTTAGCTCAGATTGGGAGCTCTGTTCTTACCCGGCTGGAGAGATTGTTGTTAACGCGCCGCCGTCTTAACCGGAAGTTCCCTACTTACCTCTCCGAACGCATCTCCTCCTATGAACCAGGTAGGACATTAAGATCGTCTGGGGAGGCCCTGCTCTCGGTCCCGCCCGCATCGCAAGCGTGGCTGGCGGGGACGAGAGACAGGGCCTTCTCGGTGGTGGCCCCCCGGCTGTGGAATGCCCTACCTGTGGACATCAGACAGGCCCCCTCACTGCTGGCATTCTGGAGGAAGGTCAAGACCTGGCTTTATGAACAAGCGTTTGGCTAATTGTGCAAGGAAACACAGTAAGATGGTACAACTGAACATAGGAATTGGTATAAAGGACTATGATTGCGGATTATGATTTTGATTTTCTGCTGAGGCGCACGTTTATGTTAATTGATTGCTTGATTTGATATGTCTTGTATAATGTGTTTTAACTGTTTTTTGATATTGCTGTGTTAACCTTTACTATGTAAACCGCCTTGAGTCGCCTTTTTTGGCTGAGAAAGGCGGTATAGAAGTAAAGCAAATAAATAAATAAATAAATAAATTAAATGCAAATCCAAGATCCACAGGCAAATAACATAAAGCATAATCCCTTAGCAATGGTCAAACAAGAGTCCATGGCAAACAGGTAAAAACAGGATCAGAATCCCAGTCTTCAAGAAGCCAGAAGCGTTCTGCAAAAGCCAAAGCAATTCCACAGAAGTTCACGGGTAAGAAGCAACATTGGACTGACAAGAAATGCCTGTCAGCTACATCATTAAAGCATTGCGTTGACCTTTGGCTTCCCTCTTGCTAGCAAGGCGTGTGCTTCTGTGAAGCCTTAATTATAAATGGTCATGTCTGCTCATTAATTCACCATTATCTTCAAGGCTATACAACTCCTTATCTCGGCACAGCTGGGCCAGATCACTCTGGGAACCGAAATTAGTCTCCACCTGCACTTGTGGGATTTCACTATCTAAAGGCACATTCCTTTCCCCGGGGAACAGGTTTGCTGTTTCTTCTTCAGAACACTATCAGCCCCGTCTGGAGCATGTAAAGCAGTGGTTCCCAACCTAGGATCCCCAGATGTTTTTTGCCTATAACTCCCAGAAATCCCAGCCAGTTTATCAGCTGTTAGGATTTCTGGGAGTTGAAGGCCAAAAACATCTGGGGACCCCAGGTTGAGAACCACTGATGTAAAGGAATCTGTAACCCATCAGCCTCCTCGTCATCCTGCAGAAAGTCAGGCTCAGAAAGCCCAGCTCAGGCCCCAAAGGCCCAAACAGTTCAGTTTCAGACTCAGACTCAGACTGAGCCACAACAGCATATTGGTATAAAAGAAACTGTTCCATCTAAAACTTCTATCCTCAATTATTTTGTTTTGGAAGTATAAGGTAATGTTTGCCCTCACTTCTTATTCCATTATTACTGAATGTATACTTTTTCTCAAACGGTTCTGGCTTTTCACGTAAAACCCACATTCCATATGCAAAAGTTCTTGCACTGTTAAACTCACCTTCCTTTCTCCCCAGACATGATTAACTGTCAGTTTTCCTCTTCGTGAATTTGCATCATCAATTACATCGTCGTGAACCAGACTAGCCGTATGGATCATTTCTGCAATTAGAGCTATAGAACGCTGGCTTGCCTGCACCTCCCTAAAATGGAAAGGGGGTGAGATCAAGAGAAAGTAAGCCATGGATCCTGATCGGAACAGGACACGAAACACAAATTTGTGGTTCATGGCAAGTATTTCAATGTTCAGTGCCTCTGCAATAAACTTCCATCATGCAGACTTACTTACTATTTCCTTCAAGCCACAGCATTTAACACTCAAAATTGGGTTTTAAAAAGTAGTTCTGATCTCGCAGATAATATGGAGATTAGAAGGACACAATAGTGCAGAATGAATGTAGAGTGAGAAACTATCCTCTTATTCTGAATATTAACATTTGGTTATCTAGTAGGGGAGAAATGAAGTACCGTATATACTTGAGTATAAGCTGACTTGAATATAAGCCGAGACATCTAATGCTACCACAAAAAACTGGGAAAACGTATTGACTCGAGTATATGCCGAGGGTGGGAAATGCAGTAGCTACTGGTAAATTTCAAAAAAACAAAAATAGAAACTAATAAAATCACATTGAGGCATCAGTAGGTTAAATATTTTGGAATATTTAATATTAAAACTATAATTTAAGATAAGACTGTCCAACTCTGATTACTATATACGCCGACCAGGACCCAAATATCAGCTGACCTGAATATAAGCCGACCAGGACCCACATTCAAGTATAAGCCAAGAGAGGCTTTTTCAGCCCTAAAAAGGTCTGAAAAACTCAGCTTATACTCGAGTATATACGGTACTTCTTCATGAAACATAGGGTATTTTATTTCACAGCATGGTGGACTGGAAAGTAAAATGAAGGGCTCTTAAGGAATTAGCTCGATTTATCCTCTTTGATTTTATTGATGAATGTGAGCCACAGTAGCTAAAACTGAAATTTCCAATTACTGGACGACTATTTCCATTAGAATCTGCAAAGTTTATCTAGGGAAAGTACCTGATCAGAATGAATGTTGGGCCAGACTAGATCAATAGAAAATCCACTTTTCTATTATGTGTGTCAGCAAGCAACACTTAAAACGCTTGACAAAGAAAGCACCCAAGGTTTTACATGGTTTGGAGCTTAGGCGCAGTAAAAGTTAATTTGTCCCCATGGAACCATATACAGTGTTCCCTCACTTATCGCGGGGGTTCGGTTTCAGGAACCCGCATGATAAGTGAAAAACCGCGATGTAGGGACACTATAATATATATATACAGTATAGCTCCGCCCACTCCTCTCTCCCCCCCCCCTCTCTTCCTTGCCTCTTTCCCCCTCCCTTCCTCCCCCCTTGCTGGAGCCACCCTTCTCCCTCCCTCCTTGCTTCTCCACTGCCATGGGGCTCTCACCCAGTTGTCCAAGGAAGAGCAACCGGGAAGAAGCCCCGGCAGAAACTGTCTTGGCGGCCCTCTCCAGCCCCAGAGCCTTAGTGACCCTCTCTGGCCCCAGAGGAAGAAGCCCGGGGAAGCGACTGGGAAGAAGCCCCAGCGGAAGCTGCCTTGACCCTCTCCGGCCCCAGAGGAAGCTGCCTTGGTGGCCCCCTCAGCGCCCCTCACCGGCGCCACTGTGGCAAGTGGGGTTTATAGATCTGTGTATACAGTGTTCCCTCGGTACTTGTATTTTAAAGCATTTTTTTTAAAAAAACTGCGAAACAAGAGAGGCCGCGGGAAGTGAACTGCAAAGTAACCAGGGAACACTGTAGCAGGATATTTCTGTTGGGGTTCTACCCCACACTGCCCAAGTCTCAAGTCCTCAATGAGGAGAAGTTAGTTAGCATTAGAATGGTCTGAGGGTTTCCCTTCCTCCATGTCTTCTGTATGACAGTTAGGAATGTATCTTTTTCCTCTCTCTTTCTGCTCTCTGATTGGTTGTTTAAAATGGATAGTTCTGTCTTCTTACACTTTAGTAATGGAGAGTATATGCTGTGTGCTTTGAGATCTCTCTCTGCTTGTGTGTCAGAGAGATGTAGTGATTGGGGATTTTCCCCTCTCTTTGAATCTTAGAAGACATGAGTGTTAGAGTAGCTCAGACCCAATTCTTTACCATGAAGAAATGCAGTTATTGATTCTTATCACTGTAAATAAACCTTTTGTGATTTTTAAGATTGGACTCTGCATGTTTACCTCTTAAGCTCTAAATTATTTACAGCCACATGGCACTTCACGTTCTGCTCACTAATGAGCTGATGCTCAAGCTGGGTTGTTGTAGGTTTTTTCGGGCTATATGGCCATGTTCTAGAGGCATTCTCTCCTGACGTTTCACCTGCATCTATGGCAAGCATCCTCAGAGATAGTGAGGTCTGTTGGAACTAGGAAAATGGGTTTTTATATCTGTGGAATGACCAGGGTGGGACAAAGGACTCTTGTCTGCTGGAGCTAGGTGTGAATGTTTCAACTGACCACCTTGATTAGCATTTGATGGCCTGGCAGTGCCTGGGGCAATCTTTTGTTGAGAGGTGATTATATGTCCTTGATTGTTTCCTCTCTGTTGTTTTGCTGTTGTAATTTTAGAGTTTTTTAATACTGGCTAACAACAACCCAGTGATTCCGGCCATGAAAGCCTTCGACAATATATTGATGCTCAAGCTTTTAGTATCCTGTTTGATTTTTGGATTCTTTGCTATATTTTAGGACAGTTTTCCTTAACGATTTTAACAGGCAAAAGCTACAAAGTTGGTTTCACACCATTTACATCTCCAATCTCTTCCTTTTGTTGTGTATAATCTACTGTAGTCTAGCCAGGACAGGCTTCACATAAATGTAGGATATCTACATGAGTTTTTTCCAACTATTATGAGCCCTTTCCCCGAGACATATTCATTTATGCTTTAGTACTGAAATGCATTACTTGAATTTAGTAACTCTAATAATGAAGTGCAACAAGAGGAAGCCCGTGGTGGCATAGTGGTTTGAGTGCTACAGTAAAACTTCTGGATGAACTTAGAAGAACTTCAAAAGAAGCTTTTAAGTATTTACCCAGAACTGTTGTGATGAAAATTGCATGCTCTAGCCATTAATACCACAATCATTGGTCGAAAAGCCTTCCCTTTTCCATCAAAGTAATATTCACACATTTCTCTAAGATCTGTCGTGGATGCCCGTAATTCCTGTAAACAAACAAAAAAGCAACTCTGGGCAATTGCTCTAATAGTATAAGTCAATTAAATATAAGTGGATTGAGTCTCTTTAGCGGAACCGACCCTGCAAGAGTAACTTACCTTTTGAATATCTTCATAGAGATTTTTTAAGTCTTTCCTTCCGAGTTTAAAAGGATCTCTGTATTTTTCATCACTGACCGCTTTACCACAGCTATGTGTTCGCACTGTTGTGTGATGAAACCTGGAAGCAATATTAACCAAAATATTCCCATTGCAATCATGAACTCCAGGCAATTTATATAAGGAATGAAAAATATCCCGTCAAAAATATCCCGTCAAAATATCCCGTTTGTAGTCCAAACATTGTTGGACTACAGTTCCTCACCATTAACTGCATTGATAAGGGTTGATGAGAATTTATTAATTTCTGAGCATTGTATACTGCTTGTATTTTTTTAAAAAAATAAAGCTGCCTCAATAAAAACAAATCCAATAAAATCAACTGCAGCCCAACAAAAGCATATTCCGCACTTTCTAGTTTGCATACTTTTTGTTCTAAAGTTATAAAATCCTCTACTGCTGCACCATTGTTTCCATGTACATGTTTATAGAAGCAGATGTGAGAATGTGATGAAACAAGGGCCCAGCAGCTGTGTTGAAAGTGAAAACTTCTGCAACCTTCTAGTGAGCTCTACAAAGAGAAAACTCTAAAACTGTAAATGTTAGGGGTTTTGAGCTTAGCTTTCTCTCCACTGGCAAGTCATAGGTACATATCCAAGGATTTGTGCCAAGCTAGTTATTGTACAAGACATGGAGTATCTGCTGCTCCACGCATTTCGTTCCTCTGCTTTGTGGCATTCCTAATACAAACAACATGGATGCGATATCACAGCACACATTTCCCAATCCCATTTAAATAATGTTAAATGGAGATCTGCAAGACATTACTTATTATTTAAGATTTATGAGCCAATTAAAGCATTAAGATAAGCTGAGGAGGCCCTGCTCTAGGTCCCACCGCCTTCTCAGGAGCAACTGGTGGGGACGAGAGACAGGGCCTTCCTGGTGGTGGCCTCTTGGCTATGGAATGCCCTCCCTAGCGAGATTAGATCTGCCCCTTCCCTCCTGAGGTTTAGGAAACAATTTAAAACGTGGCTTTTCGAGCAAGCACTCAGGGAGTGAGATCAAGTAGTCAAGATATCTTTGGAATTTGTGCAATGTTGAATGTTTTAAGTTTTATGTAAATTATATCTGACGTTTTATAGTTTATTGGTTTTAATCTATTGTATATGCTTTTAGTCATGTCATGTATTTATAATTTGTAAGACACTGAATTTTGCCGTATACTTTGTTGTGAACCGCTTTGAGTCCCCCACCAGGGGTGAGAAAAGTGGTTTATTAATGAAACAAACAAACAAATTAGAATGGACCCAAGGATCCATGGGTGGATGGCAGAATCGGTGGATCCCGAGGGCCAACTGTATGTCATCACAGCTCATACCATCTTGTGGTATCTAACAAAAGATGTAGAAGAGTGAAGGAACCATAGCCATATCTCCCACAGCATCTAATTTGACCTCTAGTAACTGACAGTTTGATTGGCTTGTTTTTATAACCTCTGTATCAGCACTGGGAACTATGCCACTAAACAGTCATAAATATTTAGTGGAGTCCACAAATGCATTATCTAGCCATACATCTAGAGCAGTGGAATGCAAAGCATGGCCATTTTATTAGGCCCCCAAGAGCCCACAAGGAGCTGAAACATATTTTGAAATCTTAGGCAGCATGGGGATGATTTAGCTGTATTATTGGGATGTTTTAGATCCAGGAGAGGACTTTTTTTTAAAAAAAAGTAAATTAGAAATTGTGAGGTCATGAGGCCTGTTTTTTAAATTTTTTATTTTCTCCTCTGAAAATGTTTTAAAATTCAGGGGCACAGTACATGCCTCCAAACCCACACCAGCTCTAGACACTATAGGGGCCTACACAGTATGTATTTTAGTGGGTTAATTTTGTTTTAACAGGCCTTCTGCAGTCAGGCAGGCATAGTGGAGGTATATGGCATGACAGGAAGTTGAGACAAACTGTATCACACACTAGCCTTGATGCAGATAAAATATTTTTTTTAAATCAGTGACTTGTTTCAATACTCCTACAGCAAGGGCAACTAGGTTGTAAAACAGGAAATAGAATAAAGCTTGTGTATCAAAATATCACTGACAAGTGAGGCAAAGTAGACTTGCAGAAAGGCTTGATGAACACTTAAAACTATGAAAGTTCCAGCAAGATATGTTAAACAGTGATGGAAATCTTACAAGATCTATAGATGGATAGGATTTTCTTCATTCTTACTGATGGGTTATGGATTCTATGTCCAGTTCTGAACCAAACTAAGACTTCCTCTGGATCCTAAATGATGTAGTGCCTGCAAAGTGCAGGATCTGATCTAACAAAATTGTTCTTGGCATGATCTTCTCCCAACTCTTACTATCTTTACTTCAGCTTTGATATCACAACAGGGAAAAGTCATTTGAGGAACACTAGCACGTCTAGAAGCAAAACAATTTGTGATGTTGGTAGGATCCTGTAAGGACATCCCAGTGAGAAGTGTTCCAAACATGGCATCCACATGACTCAGCATTTTTAGAGAAATTAAAGTAGAAATTAAACCAAGTTGATTGTGAAGGGAAGGCAAGAACTTAACTTTCCAAACTAGTGCATGACAAAAGGAGATCTGTGAATGTGACTGTAAAATAATGTATCGATTTATAGTTATATTGGTAATGGGAGCATCAATAGCAGTTACACCTTTAAAAAGCTTCACCTTGTCTATCAAATACTCTTGTTTATGATTGCCATAAGTTATTTAGTTATGACATCCAGTGGATAGTGTACATGACATCAACAAATGGGCAAAGACAAATGGATGCAGGGCTATGTAGTGACCAAATGGGCAGGAACTGGAAAGTTTTGTCAGCATGCAGTAAAAGTCAATTGCCTTGCAGATTCTGAAAGGACCTGACAATCATGCAATACAATGTTTTGAACTTACCGCCAAAATATACTGGGCATTCTTGGAAATGATAAAGATGAACTTTCTCTTAGAAAATCTGATGTCTACATGAAAAAAGAAAGGAAAACAGAGATCAGTGTTCATTTGAAAATAATTTTTCAGAGTCATTGAATGTGGCCTTGAAAATGTTACATACGTTATCTGCCAGTCTATCACATCTACCTATGTTAGCCATCTATAGTATAGCAACAGCTTAAGATTAATGATTAAACTCATTCCAATTTACAAAATTCTACTCTGACGCTCAGTATACACAAGGAAGTACAGTGCTTACAATGAAAAGTGTCTTCATTTTACTTCCTCAAGACTTTTCCCCATTTCTCACCGCTACTGATTTATTTCCTCTTGTGACAAAAGCAAATCTGCAAGAATTTTGCAGTCCCCATATAAGCATTCTGAATCTATACTGTTCTTGTTGTACGAAGCTGAAAGATGTTACACAAGCTCTGAAGTTGCCAAAACGCATGGGTGCATGGCCCAAGAAGCATAGAATGGAGTTATGCTCACATCTTCTCACAATTTTTGGTATAACATATGTTATAGGACGTTTTTCTAGAACAGTGGTTCCCAACCTGAGGTCACTGGACCACCAGTGGTCTGTAAGAACTAAAATATGATCCGCAGCCACACCATTACTACACCGTCTCACAAAACCCTCTTATAGTGCCGAGGCTTATTAAGTATGGTTTTATGTGGGCAAGCAGATGGTGACTACTGGAAGGCATATGTTCTGTATCAAAAACTAGAGTTGATGTAGTCTATCAAATGCAATTTTCTGAATCAGCACCTCAAATAACCAAACCAAATTTAAAGTCGACCAAAAACTGATTCGTAACCCTTTTGGTACTAATGTTTGTGACACACCTACACATTTCAGCCAACACACCAACATGTCACAACACGTAGTTTGGAAAGCTCTGCCCTAACCACAGCAAACGTAGACAGTTGACTATAGTGTATATTAGCCTAGAAGTCTACATTTTTGTTTCAAGAGAACCATAGGATACAGAACCTTGGACCAATCACAGATATATAAACCCAATTTTCCAGTTTCCAACAAACCTCACAACTTCTGAGGATGCTTGCCACAGATGCAGGTGAAACTTCAGGAGAGAATGCTTCTAGAACATGGCCATACAACCCAAAAAACCTACAACAACCCAATCACACTTAGCCTGCCCTACTTCATAGGGCTGTAGTGCATATAAAGATATGAAACATAGCACTATTCCACGCTGCCTTCCTCTCAATAGAAGCAAAGGCAGAATATAATAACCTATAATTGAATGTTAACTTAACAAATACATTCAATTCATTCTGCAGGTGTGTAAATTAGCAATTTTTGCCACCTGTCATCATTTTATGGGATGAGTTCAACTTTGTCCCTCACTACAAGTTGAGTATCCTTTTTCCAGAAATAAAAAATGCTCCAAAATCTGAAAATGTCCACGAGTGGATGAGAAAGTGACATCTTTGCTTTCTGATATTCTGTATATAAACGATATGTTTCATGCAAATGCTACACTTTCCTTCAAGCCATGTGTATAAGGTATATATGAAAAATAAAATAATTTTGCCCCCTTTAATTCTACCCCTAGTTTGGGGAGGGAGGAAATCTCCCAACATCACTCATCTTCCTCACCCTGATACTTTGCCTATTTTTTAAATATATATACATTATTAATATTAACTTTCAACTTTTTAAATGATGGTTATATATCTTGATAATATAAGACCCCAATCCAGCTATCGCACTTCTGCTTAACAACCCTGTTACAAGTTGAGTATCATTATTCAGAAATCCCAAATGCTCCAAAACTATTCATATGGGTGGCTGAGAGAGGGACACTTTCATTTGCTGATGGTTCAATGGACACAAACTTTGGGTGCGTCTACTCTGTAGCATTAATGCAGTTTAATTGCCCTGGCTCAATGCCATGGAATCCTGGTAGCCGTAGTTTGATGAGATATTAGCACCATTTGGTAAAGAAATCCAAAGATCTTATAATGCTACAAATCCCAAGATTCCATGGCACTGAGTCATGGAATCTCAACAAGTCTTAAACTGCATTAATTTTTACAGTATATATGAACCCTTTGTTTCATTCACAAAAAGATTAGAAATGTTGTATATAAAGTCACTTAACTGGTATCCATGGTGTTTGGTAGATGCTGCATCAATGTAATTTCTGGTTGCTTGAGAGTTACTATAAAAATACGCCTAACTAATATTATACCATAAACTTTGTATCACTTTGATTTTAATTTTTATGTACGTGTCAGGAGCGACTTGAGAAACTGCAAGTTGCTTCTGGTGTGAGAGAATTGGCCGTCTGCAAGGACGTTGCCCAGGGGATGTCCAGATATTTTACCATCCTGTGGGAGGCTTCTCTCGTGTGGGGGCATGAGAAGCTGGAGTTGACAAATGGGAGCTCACCCCGCTCCCCGGATTCGAACCGGCGACCTTTTGGTCAGCAATTCTGCTAGCACAATATTATAATATTGAATTTCCTGTTGAGACTTGGCTCCCATCTGTAAGATTTCTCTCTATGAACATGGAAATATTTCAAAACCCAAACACTTCTCTCAGGCATTTCAGAGAAGGGGAAATCAGCCTGTGTGGACCCTATAGATAATATCATATGCTGGAATTTCCTCTTTAGCCTTGGCTCCCGTCTCTAAGCCTTCTCTCTATGATGATGCAAATATTCCAGAACCCAAACACTTATCTCAGGCATTTCAGAAAAGGAAACCTCAGCCTGTATAGACCCCATAAATATTATATAATATGCTTGAACATCCTGTTTAGACTCAGCACCCATCTATGAAAATATTCCCCAAATCTCCAAACCACAAATACTTCTCCTCTCCGATAATAATAATAATACTTTATTTATATTCTGTCCTCTATCCCCGAGGGAACTCAACCTGTATAAGCCCTATAGATATTATAATACTGAATTTCCTGTTTAGACTTGGCTCTCTTCTCTAAAAGTTCTCTTTATGAACATGCAAATATTCCAAAATCTAAATACTTCTGTCAGGCATTTCAGAGAAGGTTTCCTCGACCTGTATAGACCCATATATAACATGCTTGAACTTCCTGTTTAGTCTTGGCTCCCACTCTAAGATTTCTCTCTCTATGAACATGAAAATATTCAAAAACCAAACAATTATCTCAGGCATTTCTAAGAATGGAACCTCAACCTGTATAAGTTCTATAGATAATATAATATTCTGGAATTTCCTGTTTAGCCTTGGCTTTCATCTCTAGGACTTCTCTCTATGAACATGCAAATATGCCAAAACCCAAACACTTCTCCTCTCAGGCATTTCAGAGGAAGAAACCTCAGCCTGTGTGGAAGTGCCTGACAGAAGTATTTGGGTTTTGGAATATTTGCATGTTCATAAAGAGAAGTTTTAGAGAAGGGAGCCAAGTCTAAACAGGACATTCAATATTTCAGAAAACTGAACCTTAGCCATTATACGACTTATACAGGTTAGACACTGCCAATGATGGGCAGTGTCCTTTGGTTTTGGAATTGTAGTTCACCTACATCCAGAGAGCATTGTGGACTCAATGATGGATCTGAACCAAACTCTACACAAATACTCAATATGCCCAAATGTGAACACTGGTGGAGTTTGGGGAAAATAGAATCTTGACATTTGGGAGTTGTAGTTGCTGGGATTTGTAGTTCACCCACAATCACAGAGCATTATGAGTTATTTATTGTTGTATTGTTGTTGTTATGTTTTATGATGTATTTGGGCTCGGCTTCTTGTAAGCCGCACTGAGTCCTGCGGGAGATGGTAGCGGGGTATAAATAAAGATTTATTATTATTATTATTATTACTATTATTATTATTATTTATAGTTCACCTACAATCAAAGAGCATTCTGAACCTCACCAACGATGGAGTTGAACCAAACTTGGCACACATGGAAGGGTTTGGTGGGCAGTGTCCTTTGGTTTTGGAATTGTAGTTCACCTACATCCAAAGATCACTGTGGACTCAAACAATGATGGATCTGGACCAAACTCTACAAGAATACTCAATATGCCCAAATGTGACATTTGGGAGTTGTAGTTGCTGGGATTTGTAGTTCACCCACAATCACAGAGCATTCTGAACCCCACCAACGATGGAATTGAACGAAACTTGGCACACAGTTCTCCCATGAGCAACAGAAAATACTGGAAGGGTTTGGTGGGCAGTGTCCTTGGCTTTGGAGTTATAGTTCACCTACATCCAAAGATCAATGATGGATCTGGACCAAACTCTACAAGAATACTCAATATTGATGAAGTTATAGTTCAAGAATACTCAATATTGTTGAAGTTATAGTTCAAGAATACTCAATATTGTTGAAGTTATAGTTCAAGAATACTCAATATTGTTGAAGTTATAGTTCAAGAACACTCAATATTGTTGAAGTTATAGTTCAAGAATACTCAATATTGTTGAAGTTAAAGTTCACCTACATCCAAAGATCAATGATGGATCTGGACCAAACTCTACAAGAACACTCAATATGCCCAAATGTGAACACTGGTGGAGTTTGGGGAAAATAGAATCTTGACATCTGGGAGTTGTAGTTGCTGGGATTTATAGTTCACCTACAATCAAAGATCATTCTGAACCCCACCAACGATGGAATTGAACCAAACTTGGCACACAGTTCTCCCATGACCAACAGATTTATACAATCACAGAGCATTCTGAACCCCACCAATGATAGAATTGGGCCAAACCTCCCACACAGAACCCCCATGTGGGCCACAGCAACGCGTGGCAGGGGGCGGCTAGTAGATAATATCATATTCTGGACTTTCCTGATGTAGCCATGGCTCCCATTTGTAAGCCTTCTCTCTAGGATCATGCAAATATTCCAAAAACCAAACACAAACAGAGGAGTCTCAGGCATTGCAGAGAAGGGCTCCTCAGCCTGGGTGGACCCATAGGTGGAATGAATGACAACCTTGCTTGTGCTCTCAAGGGCAGCCAGGCCTCGCCCTTCCTTGCTTGCTTGCTTGCTTCCCTCTCCCTCTCTCTCCCTCCCTGCCATTCATTCTCCCCGCGCTCTCTCCCTCCTCTCTCTCCTTCCCTCCTCACTCACGGCCTTCCTCTTCCAGGCCAGGCTCCTCCAGAAGCGGGGCAGGGCGCAAGGGCAGCGGCAGCAGAGGAGCCTCCAGGACAGGGCCATGGCCGCCGCCTCGCCCTGCTACTCCTCGCTCGGGCCCAGCGACGCTTTGGCAGGAGCAGCAGCAGCAGCAAGGAAGCCTGCTCGACCCGGACGCGGAAGCCCGGGCCTGGGGCGACACGTGGGAGGCCGGCAGGAAGGCCACCTCCTTCTCCTCCTGCTCCTCCTTCTCTTCTCTGAGGCGCCGGAGGGAAATATGGGCCGAGCAAGGACTCGTCAGGGAGGAGGAGGAGGAAGAGAAGGGAAGAGGAGGAGGCAGATGGTAGCAACATACATGGTGGGAGCTTTGCAGAGTCTTCTTTTCTACTTACTATGTACTAGCCATCCCCTGCCACGCGTTGCTGTGGCCCACATGGGGGTTCTGTGTGGGAGGTTTGGCCCAATTCTATCGTTGGTGAGGTTCAGAATGCTCTGTGATTGTATAAATCCCAGCAACTACAACTCCCAAATGTCAAGATTCTATTTTCCCCAAACTCCACCAGTGTTCACATTAGGGCACATTGAGTATTCGTGCCAGGTTTAGACCAGATCCATCATTGTTTGAGTCCACAGTGATCTCTGGATGAACCATAAACAACAAAAAATCTTACTCTATGTCACCACGAGGAGGGTTCAATGTGGCTTCCAAATTTTGTCAATTTGTAATGCCCCAATTATACAAAAATCAAACAATACATACCACAATTAACCATTATAATAATAAAAATATTTTTGTTGTGTCAGGAGAAACTGCAAGTTGCTTCTGGTGTGAGAGAATTGGCCATCTGCAAGGACGTTGCCCAGGGGATTCCCAGATGTTTTTGATGTGTTACCATTCTTGTGGGAGGCTTCTCTCATGTCCCCGCATGGGGAACTGGAGCTCATAGAGGGTGCTCATCTGCACACTCCCTGGATTCGAACCTGCAATCTGTTGGTCTTCAGTCCTGCCGGCACAGGGGTTTAACCCACTGCACCACTGGGGCTCCATCAAATGGACATATAAAATACAAATTAATGCATGTAGAGCATAATCGCAATCCTGAAGTCATAATCTAGGTTGCTTCTTATGTCGGTTTCGTGATTGTCTATTGTACTCGTACTTTTATTTGGCGTTGAACTACATTATATTGTCAGTGTTGAATGGCCCAAAGTTATGTCTTTGAATTAATTAACAGACTGTTTCTTCAACATAAAAGATTTGAATCGAAATAATTGTAATTGTCTTTTATTTTATTTGTTTTTTGTTCCATGCAGACTTGAGTTGGAAAAATTCGAGGATCCAGTATGTCAAGACGTTCCGAAGTTCAATGCTTGTTCACGTACTTAATGCTAGTATGCCAGACTGGATGCTACCTCCTGGACTCTTTAACTGCTGCAAGGAATTTTAGCTATGTTCACAAATACATCAATACATCCAATTTAGATCAAGACTACTGTGAAAGGAAAAGGAAGTTATTTAGTTTGGGTGAATGGAGACTTTCTACAGAAAAATTTACAGGTACTCGATAGCTTTCTTTGTATTTATCCAATATTATGTACTTGCCAGCAATTAATTTAAAATATATTAAAATGGGAAGAGATGAGTACATGCCAGGTCCTAAATTACAGCTATTTTTACCTAGAAATCGATGTATTGACCAATTGATTTTAGTGGGATTTAGGTGGGAGTTCACAATAGCCTAACAATGATTGCATGGCCTCATAATTCCCACCACAGGCTTAGTTCCATCATCCAAAATTAATTTTTTATGTTTTCTAAGATAAAGACTGGAGCCCCTGGTGGTACAGTGGGTTGAACCGCTGAGCTGCTAAACTTGCTAACCGAAAGGTCGCAGGTTTGAATCTGGGGAGCAGTGTGATCTCCTGCTGTTAGCCCCAGCTTCTGCCAACCTAGCAGTTCAAAAACATGCAAATGTGAGTAGATCAATAGGTACCGCTCTAGCAGAAAGGTAATGGCGCTCCATGCTGTCATGCGGGTCACATGACCTTGGAGGTGCCTATGGACAATGGCGGCTCTTTGGCTTAGAAATTGAAATGAGCACCAGCTCCCAGAGTTGGACATGACTGAACTTAAAGTTAGGAGAAAGCCTTTACCTAAGATAAAGCCTGCAAAGTTCCTTCTGGGGAGCGGTGTGATCTCCCCCTGTTAGCCCCAGCTTCTGCCAACCTAGCAGTTCAAAAACATGCAAATGTGAGTAGATCAATAGGCACCGCTCCAGTGGGAAGGTAATGGCGCTCCATGCCATCATGCGGGCCAAATGATCTTGGAGGTGCCTATGGACAATGGCGGCTCTTTGGCTTAGAAATTGAGATGAGCACCAACTCCCAGAGTTGGACATGACTGAACTTAAAGTTAGGGGAAAACCTTTACCTAGGATAAAGTCTGCAGTGTTTTTTTCTACTTATCCATGAATGCCCATGTTTCATCCAAAACCAAAATTAATTCAGAAAAATAGCTAGGGTTTTTTACCTCTTGAAATTGGTACTAGCCATTGCATATCTCCCTCAGAATCCTTGCTATAATCCTGGAATCGGAAACCTTTAGTCCTTCACATCTTTTGGACAATAAATACCACAGTCCCTTGCCATGCTTTCTGTGGTCTGCATATTAAAATCCAGAAAACCAAATATTCCCCTATTGGGTACAATTTAATATGAGCATTACCGTTAATTTATTTGCAATATCCATATTAAGACTAGGCTTGAAATGCAAACTGTGGGAAAACACCTGACCTACTTCTTCATCCCCTACCTTTTCTACCGCTGAGGACATAAACCAAATCTAGCACATTGTTCCATGGCATTTGGGGTGATATGAAAGATACTGCTCAACGGGGGTTTGGAGTTCATGAACAGGCCCCGTCATGTTTTATTTTGCTTTGCTGTACGTCTTCTGAACATGGTATTAAAAGATTTTGCTTGTTTTCTCTAGTTGCCCTTCCCATTGATCCCATTCAGGAAAATTATGTTCGTGAAGTTCGTGACTCCATTTTTTCAGTTGTCTACCCTACTCCATTTAAATCCAGAGCTCTGCTTGTAGGCGTTTCAAAGGTTAGGCTTTATTTTTTTTTTCTCCTGGGTGCTAACTGTTGCTGCCTTACTTAAGAATGTCTTCATTTAAAAAATGGAATCCTCAAGAACAAAAATATAACCCTCATAATACAACCTTCATAATATATACTATTGTGTTCACAATAGTGTGTTGGAAATTGGCATTCATGACAATTTGGGAAAACCAGGAATCTCCACAGGCTTTTGGAGCCATGACCCTTTTTGGAGATTAATTGGTATTCACACTATTTGGAATAATCATAATATTTTGGAAAGGTATGGCCTTGTTTGAGATAGTAATCTTTTGTAAAGTATGATCTTCCTAAGAAGAGTTAAAAACTCGCTTGAGTCACCCTTCTCCTTAGTGGTAAATATCCACTAGTATTCATGCAAGGCAACTAGGTTTCTCAGCTGTTAGACTGATATCCCTAGATATTTCATTGAACTGTTAGGAACAAAGATATGCCAGTGCACAAAAAACAGTGTTTCAGAAGTGTTACTTCAGTTGCCCAAAAACATCTACTCTCCCATAAATGTATTCCTTTAAATCATACTCTCAAGAGACCAAAAATAAAGTAGTCTTTGTTAAAATAACATAGTTGGTTCGGGCTATATGGCCATGTTCTCGAGGCATGTTTCGCCTGCATCTATGGCAAGCATCTTCAGAGGTGGGATACTCATACCTCTGAGGATGCTTGCTATAGATGCAGGCAAAACATCAGGAGAGAATGCCTCTAGAACATGGCCATATAGCCCGAAAAAACCTACAACAACACAGTGTATCTTTCTTTGAATCTCAACAGTCCAAAGTCTAAAGCATCTCTCTGTTCTGAGAGTCTGATAGAGTCTCTAAAGGAGGGGTCCCCAAACTCAGGTCTAGGGGGAAGATACGGCCCTCCAAGGTCATTTACCCAGCCCTCGCTCAGGGTCAGCCTAAGTCTGAAATGTCTCGAAAGCACACAACAACAACTATCCTATCTCATCAGCCAAAAGCAGGCCCACACTTCCCATTGAAATACTAATAAGTTTACATTTGTTAAAATGGTTCTTCATTTTAATTATTGTATTGTTTTCAAGTGTTTTTTTGCACTGCAAATAAGATGTGTGCATAGGAATTCATTCATTTTTTTCCAAATTATAATCTGGCCCTCCAGCAGTTTGAGAGACTGTGACCTGGCCCTCTGTTTAAAAAGTTTGAGGACCCCTGCTCTAAAGCATTCTGTTTCTACTGACTTCAAAAATGGAGTCTGAGATCTGAAATGTCCCAGATCTGGTCACGTGGTCAGCAGCCCCTCTCGCAATTTAGAGCAAAGGAAAACTTCATACCAATTTACACATATACAATACAGTAATCAATCTGAGTCCCCGGTGGCGCAGTGGGTTAAAGCACTGAGCTGCTGAACATGCAGACCAAAAGGTTGGCTGTTTGAATCTGGGGAGCGGGGTGAGCTCCCCCTGTTAGCCTCAGCTTCTGCCAACCTAGCAGTTCAAAAACATGCAAATGTGAGTAGATCAATAGGTACCGCTCCGACGGGAAGGTAATGACCCTCCATGCAGTCATGCCAGCCATATGATCTTGGAGGTGTCTCTTTGGCTTAAAAATGGAGATGAGCACCAACCCCCAGATTCGGACACAATTGGACTTAATGTCAGGGGAAAACCTTTACCTTTATCCTATGCAATCTGAATTATATACATAATAAATTACTAACAGAGGTTTGAAGAAGGTTGCTATTTTCAACATACTACATATATACAAAAATAAACATAATATGTATTGTTGCATAGTATTATATTTATTGAATGTGTTGTTGTTTTACTGCCAGGGATAAGAAGAAGGGCTTGTGAGATCTTCTATCCTAGATGTCCACCTTGATTGGGGTTGGTAAAAGTGGGGCATCAAATGTCTTGTGCTAAGCCTTGTGTTTATACACTATTGTAAGTGTACAGGCATGAAAAATCTACTCATAGAAAGGAAGTATTTGCATGTCAGACTATGTGGAACTTTATGTTATTGCTTAGTAATTCCTGCATTGTTGTCTCCTTTCAGGAAGTCATGGAAGACATGTTGGACCTGGATGTATCCGTTTCAGATTCAGAAGATTTTCTACAGCTTGTCAGTGGTGAAAAAGTGATATGGGGATCTCTTCCCCTGGCCCATAGATACGGTGGACATCAGGTTAATAATAACAGTATCAGTAAGCTTCTCTGTTTGAAAACTGTAGTTCTTGATTTTTCATTGTTCTGTCTCCTTTTCTTCTTTCACAATGCTCCTCTCATGTATTTCATCGGTATGGAAACTTTGGTTCTCCAGATATTTTGGATAGGAATGCCCATGAGGACAGCATGGCCAATAGTAAAGAAGTGTGGGAAACTTCCACCAAAATTCACTTTATAGACTGAGACCTCATATGCATACTTGTAGACAAGGTTTTATTCAAGGTTTACAAACTCAGAATGTTCTGTGAATCAGAGCTATAACCTATAATAATGACTGAAAAAATAAGCCCCATTTCTCATTGCCTGCTACTGCCATATTTCACCATCAAAATTGAAGAGGATAGTGTTATCATGGCACTTGACATCCACTGAATCTGTTTTTGAAAATATATAGAATTTGCTTTTTAAATGTGGGATTATGTACATTTGCTGGAAATAAGACAGATTAATAATTTTGCATGTTACTATCTCCTGTTTCTTGTTAGTTTGGTAGCTGGGCTGGCCAGCTGGGTGACGGAAGGGCTCATTTGATTGGCGTTTATACAAACAGGTAAATATATAATGAACCATGATATCCACGAAAATATATTAGTAACTATTATTATTATTAATGGTAATACTTAAAATGTTTAAAAGCAATGCTTTGGGGTCAGGAATGGGCAACTTGGAAGTCCCTGAACAGACTCAGAAGTGGAGTGGGCAGATCAAAAGACAACCTGGCAAAATGACACTACCTAGAAGAATCCTCTACCAGAACAGACAACACCGCACCTGTATTCTTGTCCGCAATGTCCTGCCTCATGTACAGAGGAAGAGTTGTTGGAGGCTACAGACAATGCATTGGCTGTTGCCCGTTTTTGGTCAAAATATATTTAGCCGCTTGTGCTCCTTCTGTTTTTATCAGTTTTATACTAATTTATGCAATGCTTTTGATATGAAATAAATAAATAAATGGTAATATTGATTTTTAAGAAAATACATTGCTGTAGTAAACCCTCTAACAGTTTTTCAGAGGGATATTGGTACTTATTTTACATATATTGCAGATTAGATTAAAGATTGAGTGTGGGAGATTGGAGTCTAAAACTGGCAATGTCCAAAGGTGGATATGGAGTTTTTGACTGAAGCAAGATGTGAACTAGGGATTTCTGGACTTGCACACTTATTTTCTATGCTGCCTGATTTGTTGACATTACTAATGGCAATATTGTTTTTGCAGGTTTGGTGTTAGTTGGGAACTACAGCTGAAAGGTTCAGGAAGAACTCCCTACTCTAGGTTTGTTGCGTATTTTGGAGAGGGATTTCAACCAGTTTCTTCTTGTACAGCAAAATCCTTTGTTTCACGTATTGTTCCAGCATCAAGAGCCATCTCAAAACTAGGGTCAGCTTATAGAATAAATTGCAGATGTGCATGAATTTTTTTTTACTATACTGAGTAGCAGGATTTCCCAACTTTCTATATGTTCTGACAACATAAGAGATAACTGAAAGGAAGAGTAGATTGGTTAATGAGTGATCCATATATAATTAGTTATTTATCATAATAGCCAAAAGGTAATTATGTGGGAGGTAAAATCAAATCTATATTGAGAGATCTTGCATTTAGTGCTTGTTCATTCGTTCAGTCGTTGCTGGCTCTTCGTGACCTCATGGACCAGCCCATGCCAGAGCTCCCTCTTGGCTGTCACCACACCCAGCTCCTTCAAGGTCAATCCAGTCACTTCAAGGATCCCATCCATCCATCCATCTTGCCCTTGGTCGGCCCCTCTTGCTTTTCCCTTCCATTTTCCCCATCATTTAGTGCTACCATGATGAAAGATGGTCAGATAGCTATAGTTTACCACCTGTATTGATGAGTTTCCCACAATAACTGTATTTGATAAATGTTTTTATATAAGGTTATTTATGTTTTCTTGTTGGCAGGAGCTTGGACTGGATAGCCTATGAGATCTCTTCCAACTCTATGATTCTATGATTCACCAAACCCATAGTTTTGTAGGAGTAACTAAAAAACTTTTAAAAGTTACATTTTAGCAACTGTTATGTTACGAACGTCATTACTGTATAAACAGTTGTCAAAACCCAGGCAGAGCAACGAGGCAAAACAGCAGCTTAAGGGTTAACAAAGGGTGTTTAATGGCAAATTAACAAGTCAAATGGCTCTTCACAGCAGAGCGTGTAAACAAAAGAGCCTGCTGCTTGCAGGAATGTAAACAAAGCAGCCGCCCAGGCAGTCTGGGCAGCAAAAAGGAAAGCAGGAGTAAAGCAGGCAAAACAGTTCGTGGTAGGAACGGAATACAGTCAGTTCAAAAATCACAACACAATGAGCAGTATGAGGAGCGGTCCGAAGTCCACGCTGGAGACAGGCAGGATTGTAGAATGGTCAAGACGGTCCAGAGGTCAGGGCAGGAGACAAGACTCACGGTTCCAAGCCAGGCAAAGTAGTCAGCACGATCACGGAAACACGATTCTGGATGCAAGGACTCAAGGCAAGAGTTAACAGCAGGATACACGGGTACACGACGCTTTGAACTCTGCAACATAATGGACCCAAGGCTACTCCTTAAATCCCATCAGAATCACTAGATTCGCTTCCAGGTGCATCCAGTTCCACAAGTGAACTGCGTTCCCTCCATTGCTGCCAGTCTGCACTCCGGGCTGCATCCTGAGAAGCAGTATCTGAAACCCATGAGTCTGTGAACCCTTGGAACTCCCCACTGGAGGTTGGAGCATTAATCACATCCTGAACCTCCTGGACTCTAGTCCAGTCCAGCTCTTCATCATCACTTTCAGACCCGTAGCTATCTGCTATGTCTTTAAGACGCTTGGAAATGGATTCCTCATCGCTATCAGAACTGCGTGCTACTCGCTTTACACCACGATAATCCTCCATCTCCATCTCCTCATGAGTAAACCCCTGAAAGTCTTCCTCATCACTAGATTCTAGGAACATTTCCCTAATGCGCTTCAGCTGCTGCTGAGCGTCCTCCTCTTCCAAGCCTCGTTTCCTCCTACTAGCACTAGTAGATACAGAAGGCACACGCTGAGTTACAACAACAGTATTAAGTGCATTACAAGTTACATTGTTACTTGTAATGCAACATTTCCAAGCTCTGCGTTCAAAGGATACAACTTAGGTGAAGTTCAGTATTTTTCTAATTCTAAGAGGGTAATATTTAAATTCCCCATAGATGGTGGTTCACAAAAAGCTTGTGCTGAAAACAGATTAGTCAGTCTTAAAAGTGCCACAGAAGTGCTTTCTTTGAAGATGTACCATTTCTGTGAAAATGTGTTTTGCTTTTTTTCTTTTTCATAGAAATGGGGATGGCAGAGCTGTGCTTCACTCTTCTGTTCGAGAATTTTTGGGAAGTGAGGCTATGCATTATCTTGGAATTCCTACAAGCCGAGCTGCTAGGTATATAATCTGTGTTTGTGCTTTTTTCATTGTTAAAATGAGATTTTATGCTTCTACAAATGTGACTGAGAAAAGGCTGAAATAGCTTTGTTTTATCATTCCCATTAATCGTCTTGTGCGAAAGCTTATGGAAGCTTATACTTCTTATGGAAGTACAGCAGATAGGCTTAAATCAATGTTTGTCTCATATTGCTAACAATGCAGGACCTAGGGGAGAACATTTGCTAAACCGGTGGAAGAGGAATGCTTAATCTTTCTTCCACTAACTCCCTGCAAGTATACTATCATTTCCCAAGTGAATAGATTCTAAAGGTGGAAGATGGTGATGTTGGCCCCACGGCTCTGGAACTCCCTTCTCAAAGAGGTGCGTTTGGCTCCCTTGTTACTGGCTTTTCGCTCCCAGGTTAAAACCTTTCAATGGAAACAAGCCTTCCCTGATAACCCACAATAAGCTACAACTCGGCAGCCAATGATTATTACCAAGATCCATCACTGACGGCCATCTGGTCTGGCTAGGTTCACACGGCTAAAGATTCTGAGCTTTGTGATTTTTAGTATAATATTTTAAGGGCAACCTCAGTGTTTATTTATTATGCTTATTTTTGTTGTCTATATCATGTCTCTAGGTAATGTGTTGTTGACTGTTTACTTGGCTGGGTTGGGGGGGGGGATGATGTTGTGGTTTTTTAATTATGTAATTGTTTGTTGTTAAACCATTTGTTCACAGCTTTGAGTCCCACCCATGGGAGAAAAGCAGGATATAAATAAATAAAATTTATTTATTTATCATATCAGAATCAAACCAAGGGTACAATTTAAAAGACACAGAGGGTTTTTTTTAAAAAAAAACTTGGCATTATACTATGTCCTTTGACCAGTAGTTGGTCACTTGAAGTGCCTCTGGTGTTGCTATAAGAAGATCCTCCATTATGCATGTAGCAGGGCTCAGGTTGCATTGTAGTAGGTGGTCTGTGGTTTGCTCTTCTTCACACTTGCATGTTGTAGGCTCCACTTTGTAGGCCCATTTCTTGAGATTGGCTCTGTATCTCATGGTGCCAGAGAGCAGACGGCCAATTCTCTCACACCAAAAGTTACCCCGTCTTCTTTCTGCCCAGGGGAGAGAGTCTCTCATCTGGTATTAGCCATGGCTTGAGGTTCCGGGTTTTAGCCTACCACTTTTGGACTTTTGCTTGCTGAGGTGTATCTCTGTAGATCTTAGGAAGCTATTTCTTGATTTAAGGCATTGGCATGCTGGCTGATATCCAAACAGGGGATGGGCCGGAGATGTCACTGCCTTGGTCCTTTCATTGTTGGCTGCTACTTCCTGATTGATGTCAGGTGGTGCAATACCAGGTAAACAGTATAATTTCTCCAGTGATGTAGGGTGTAGACATCCTGTGATAATGCGGCATGTGTCATTAAGAGCCACATCCACTGTTGTAGCGTGGTGAGATGTGTTCCACACTGGACATGCCTACTCAGAAGCAGAGTAAGTAAAATGCAAGGGTAGATGACTTCACTATGTCTGGTTGTGATCCCCAGGTTGTGCGAGCCAGCACAAATAAAGAAATATGTTGCATTCCCTTCCACCTCTCACTGTCTTGGATTGCAGTGAAAACAGAGATATGGCAACTGTAATTATCCGGTACATAAAGAGTTAAGTACCTCTGCTTCTGCTTGCTAAATAGGCACAAGATTTGACTTGTTTAAATGATTGAGGAATTTCTGTGTGCATGCAGTAGATAATGCTTCACGTTACAATATAGAAACTACAACTCAGTTGTTACTCCTATAATGTGTGTGATGCGCTTTGCTTCTGTCACTGGAACATTAATGCCTATTACTCTAAAAGGCCTGCAATGGAATGAGAAGATACCGAGTGTGCTTGTATATTAAGGTCCTTCCTGGCTGTTCAAATAGTTTTTTGTTCCCTCCCAAGTATATATAGAGCTTTCCCTAGCATTAGCTGGGAAAACAACATCTGCTTTTTGAAGTACATCCTTTTCAGATCTGTTGGATTGCCTTCTTAGTTCTTCCAACAACAGATCTCCCAGACCCATCATTAGGTGCAAAGTGCACAAGATGAGCATGAAAGCTCCTTCTGACTTAATTATTATTCTTGGACACTGCTGTGACACAGTTCAATTGAAAGGCAATCCTGAGCATGGGCATTGTGCATTAAATCAGAATTTAGGTGATTTTCTTCCTTCCATTTCTGGCATGCTGTTTTGAATCTCTATAATAAAATGGCTACTTAGTGGGGGAGCAACATTCTGGAAACTTTTCCAGACTTCCCTTCATAAATAATTAACTCAGCCACCCGCCCCTCCCCAAATTCCCCATGCTTATAGCTAGATCTTTACCAATGAGAAGCTGTTGTTGCCAACAGGAAGCTGTTGTGTCTCAGCTGCTGCAGTTTCTTCAAAAATGCTTGCTGAGTCTTGGCAGAAGAGTTGGAAACAGCATGTACTTTATCCAGGAACACTAGTTAGATGGAACCGTACTATTAGATCTGTGTATTGTTACATTCACAACAGAAAGTTACAGTCATAGAGTGATATAAGATACCAATATATCTAATATAATATATTAACCCAATATCTTCAGATCTATAAACTTGTGTTTCTAAAGTAAACAGTAAGATCTAGTGGAGTGATACAGTATTAACTTATTTCACAATTATATTGATTTCTCCTGCTAGTTGGATTATGTATTTAGTCCTCCTAGTTGGCCATACCTGGTCTTCTTTCATCTCCCAGTTTGCATATTTTGGTGAAATTCTTTTTTAAAAGAACCTGTCTTTAAATAGGTTAAGTCTGACATCAGTTTGTTTAGCTTGTTTTACTTGTTAGGGGACAGCGTTTTAAATAGAATTCCTAAAATATTCTCAAGAGATGGTCAAATCCCCCATAGAGAGTTTTAAGATGTTTTCTTCTGCTGTTTGTCCAAATCTCTGTTCATGTAGAAATTCATTTCAGAAAGAGATTTGGCTGCTTGCCTTAAATTTAAGCAATAGATTCTTGATAGCACCTTGCTTTCCAAGAAGGAAATTTCACTTTCTACAATCTGAGTGGTACACAGCGCTTGAGTATTTATTTTTGACAAGAAATGATTCCTATGGAAGCCAAGACTACTTCCATCATTGGTGTTACTAACTTAATTTAGCAAGACAGGTTTTTGCTGAGCAAATGACACAGATATTGAGCTGTTTCATAGATACCGTATATACTCGAGTATAAGCCAACCCGAATATAAGCCAAGGCACCTAATTTTACCACAAAAAAACTGGGGAAACGTATTGACTCGAGTATAATTTGAGGGTGGGAAATGCCGCAGCTACTAGTAAATTTCAAAATAAAAATAGATACCAATAAAATTACATTAACTAAGGCATCAGGCTAAATGTTTTTGAATATTTACATAAAACTGTAGTTTACGATAAGGCTGTCCAACTCTGATTAAACCATTATTCTAATTGTCTTCAATGTAAATGTTCTTAAGTATCCTTCCAATAACAATGAGAGTAAAATAATAAATGTAATGAAAATTATCGTTCAGTAAAATAATAAATGTAATAATAACAATAATAATAAAGTGAAATAATAAATGTGATAATAATAAATAGTGTAAAATAATAAATGTAATAAAATAATAATAACAGATTAAAATACTAAATAAGCTTGACTCAAGTATAAACTGAGAGGGGCCTTTTCATCCTTAAAAAAGGACTAGAAAACTCAGCTTATATTCAAGTACATACGGTGAATCTAAATGTTCAGGATGGTGCAGAATTGGTGTAATATGATCCAGTCATCTAGCCACAATAAGAATTTGAATGACCACAAGAAAGATTGTAGATGCTTCAAATGTGGTCCCACATAGAGTGTATTGAAGTTGTGAAACCTTGATCTAGCTAGTGCCTTTATCACCGTTAGTGGTGAGGTTGTAGCTGATATGTCAACCAGTGTTGGTAAAAGGTAGTCCTAGATCCTGTCTGTCCCGACCTCCCACATGTACCATCACAACTAAAACCATTAATAAGCTATGTACACATCCTTCAAAGCAATTATAATGTTGCCCAAAACTATTTGAACCCTTTTATTTGCTGACAAGACTTAGATCTTTTAAGGGTTAAACTACAGCATCCATCCCAAAGCTATTTCCCAGCATCTATTCAGTCTGAAACTGTAGATATTTTTCTCAAAAGTTTTATGCAGATGTAGAATTAATGTATATGCATAGCCTGGAACCTGCTGGCCAAGGATTACAGGGAAGAGAATAATTTACGCATCATTAGTTTTTGAAGCAGACCTGCCAGGTAGTAGCATAGTCTCTATAAAACTGTGTTCTCTGAGTCTAATCCGAATATATTAGTGGTCCCAAAGATCTATGAGAGGTGCAAGAAAGCCAAGATTGTTACCTTTTCCCTGTACTGTAGGTTTATATAGTGCATGTATTTGTAATCACAGCACTTGTTGACTTTGAATGCTAGGTTGGTTGTCCAGCATTTTTCAGTCAAACCTCTAATCTTCAACATTAAATCCATAACCCTCACCTTTTCTCAAAAAAAAAAATCTTCCTTCTTTAAAAAACCTGCCTGAATAAAAAGGTTTTAGCCCGTGCTGCTGGACTTACACTCCAACAGCATTTGGAAAGCCTCATAGTCTCCACTCCTCTCATTTATAGGAATTTTTCAGATCACATCATGAATTATGTCAGCGTTAGTTATGCAGAATTTAATATGAACTTTGCTTCTTTCCTTAGTACAATCATTCCTTTTTTCCCATAGTCACTCTCCCAAATTCTGAATTATTTCAATTTGCCCCCAGCTAGCCTTTAAAAAGTCTCTGTGCATTGATTTGGGGTTATGCACCGGCATTATCCTGACAGAAGTTGTGACTGCTCTGCTTCTGACGTGAGCCCGTTCAGCCATCTTTAGGCAAGCCTGTGTTTCCCAGGTCCCTGAGGATTACCATTTTGATGTCGAATTTAGTACAGACTCCCAGTCAGCATAGCTGAGAGCTTCTAAGATCAAATAATCCACCAGCCTCAGGCTCCAGAGCTGTTGGATTACAGGCTTGTGCCATCGCATCTGCCTAAAAGGCCTTGCTTTTTAAAGATAAGGTTCTTCACTCGCAGCTACATTTGCCCTCCTAAGGCTATTTCTAAGCATTGTTAACAGTTCCAAAAGAGCTAAACCCTGGTGTTAGAGTTAACTCATTAGATATACCAAAGGACATTTGGCTTTACAGGCACATCAGATAGTGCTCCTTTTTGGCATAAGAATATTTTTGTTTTGCTTCTGCTTCCTCCAAATTGGAGCCCCGTGGGTCTCACAGTGCATTCTGTAAATACCTTTATAATGTGTAGTTGTTGGAAGAAGCTTGAAAATCGTGGTGTTTTATCAGATAGCACTAACATAACGGCCTCTAAACAGGTTGTACTGGTAAAGAATCTGCAGAGAAACATTTAATACACATTTCAAAACCTACTCGGCAGCATTCCAAAATTATGAAGACCAAAGGGCAAGCTTCACCAAAGGAACTCAGAGTCCTCATTATGATACCCAAATAGTAGCATGCAGTACCTAAATAAACAGATCTAACACTGCATTAAAAGATGTATCTTCCTTAATAAGTATAAGGAAATGGACAGCTCTATACACAAGAAGCAGTTGAAGAATTGTGTTATAAACGGACAAGTCAACACAAATGAGCCATTGTACTCTCAGGTGTAGCAGTGTCTAACACAAGACATAAAATGTGAAATCCCAGCTGAGTAATATGCGAACTAAGAAAGGCATGGAATAAAGGAAGGCTTTTCACCTTTTTCAACCTAAAATGATCATAACGATGAATAAGTAGTCCAAAAATCTGGAGGATGAAACCTGTAACCGTGCAGTTTCTTGTTGGGCTGACATGGTAAAGTTAGGATCGTTTCACACCACACGGTTTTAGCAGTATGATTTCACTTTAACTGCAATGGCTGCATCCCATGGAATCCCATAATTTATAGTTGGTAATCCACTATAACTCTCTGTCTGAGAAGTCTTAAGTGCCAGTTCCTAAACTGCAATTCCCAGAATCTCATAGGCAGGGGCGGCTCTCATAGGCAGGGGCGGCTGCAAATGCTTACCATTACGCAAAGTAAGCATTTGCAGTATAGTTGATTTTGCCCAGGGGCGCTCTCGGGGGGAAATAGACCTTGACATATGTGAGTTGTAGTTACTGGGATGTATAGTTCACCTACAATCAAAGAGCATTCTGAACTCCACCAATGATGGAATTGAACCAAATATGGCACACAGAACTCTCACGACGAACAGAAAATATATATCAGTGATTGGTTGGGAGGTGGGCGCCAAAATACTGTTTGCTTACCGTTGAAAATTACCTAGGACCGCCTCTTCTCATAGGATATTGTCATAGCACTTAAAGTGAAATCATAGTGCTCTAACTTATGTGGAAAGACCCATAGAAATAACCTTGGATTTAGCTGCTGTTTTGATAAGGCCTAATAGGCACCGTGCATGTTCAGTTTAGCAGAGAGTCTGATATCCAACCATGAAAACACCAGAGAGCAGAATCATAACAGTGATGTTGCAAAAAGACCATCCTAACTAATTAGTTACAGCCAAGATCAAATGGGGTTTTTTTTGTCATGTCAGGAGTGACTTGAGAAACTGCAAGTCGCTTCTGGTGTGAGAGAATTGGCCGTCTGCAAGGACATTGCCCAGGGGACGCCCAGATGATTTGATGTTTTTTAACATCTTTGTGGGAGGCTTCTCTCATGTCCCCGCATGAGGAGCTGGAGTTGATAGAGGGAGCTCATCTGCCTCTCCCCAGATTCGAACCTGCGACCTGTTGGTCTTCAGTCCTTCCAGCACAGGGGTTTAACCCACTGTGCCACCGGGGGCTCCAGATCAAATGGTGAAGCAGGCTTACGATAATACACACTCCTGAAATCAATTTAACCTGACTCATGGTTAATTGCTGGTTTGTTTTTCTTTCCAAGCTTAGTTGTCAGTGACGATGATGTGTGGCGGGATCGGTTGTACAATGGAAATGTTAAGAAAGAAAGAGGTAAGTTTGACCTTTTGTGTTAACTGTTTGGTGACACTGTGACTCTCCAGCTAATTATCTTTAAATTTCACTTGTGCATTTTGTTTTTGTAACAGAAAAAATCTTGAAGGAAAAAAGGTGCATAAACCTTCTAAGACCTGCACAAAAGAGTGCGTTGTTCACTGTCCTAGAGTTTGCTCAGTGCTAAAAGTATGTTTTTAAGATCTTAAAGCAATAGCTTCTGGAGTGCGCCTTTCAGTAAAATACATTGGACAGTATTACATCCATTTTCTCTGCTTTGAGTATGTTAACATAATGAATTATTTATTCTTTTATATGTTATTCCATTGAGGTCTAAAGCTGGATTTGAACAGCTGAAGCTTTGCACTTGTGTGTATATGTAAAATTAAACTGAAGTGGGTAAAGTGCAGCTCAGCAACCCCATATGGCTCCCAATGCTGTTTTATGATTCCACTGCATAAGAAGAGCTGCTTCTTTCATTGTGTCTCCCACAAAGTGTATGCCTAGAGCTTGTCCAGACACATTGCTCTAGTTCAGAGTGCTTTTTATTGAATAATATTCTCTTGCATTTGTATTTCAGGTGCAATTGTCCTACGTGTTGCCAAATCATGGTTTCGAATAGGATCACTAGAAATATTAGCTCATTCTGGAGAACTTGAGTTGCTAAGGTTAGAAATGAAGTCTTCCTTATTATAATCTTTATTCATCTGTATTATATCTGTATTTCTCCCTGTGCAATATAATATAGAAGCTGATGTGTAAAAGCAGGTTTCTGAAAGCTCACTTATATATAAACATCATCCAGCCAAATCCTTTCAATCAAAGATGCTTGCATCCTCTAAAACAGTGGTTCCCAACCTGTGATCTGTGGACCACCAGTGGTCTGCAAGAACTAAAATATGGTCCACGGCCTCACCATTACTACACAGTTACAACGAGAGCGACGGTTCTCTCAAAACCCTCTTATAGTGCTGAGGCTTATTAAATATGGTTTTCTGTGGGTGAGGAGATGGTGACTACTGGATGGCATATGTTCTGTGTCAGAAACTAGAGCTGATGTGGCCTATCCAATGCAATATTCTGAATCAGCACCCCAAATAACCAAACCGAATCTAAAGTTGCCCAAAAACTGATTCATAACCCTTTTGGTACTAATGTTGGAGAGTGGTCCCTGGTCAAAAAAAGATTGGAACCACTGCTCTAAAAGCTGTTCCCAACACTGAAGAGGTTTTCTAGAAGAGCTTTGCTAAACAGAATCTTTTTAAATGAAAGGATGACTACCAAATACCTAAAATGGATTTTAAAAATATATAATTTGGCACCCAATTTGGGGGAAAAGACAGAATATAAGCATAAACAAACACAATACTTCTTGATTAAAGAGTGTCTGTTTCTTATAGCCCAGTTTAATTTGCAGTTAAATGAAATGATGTTTTCAGCTTCCAGATAAAGGATTAAACTGAATAATCCTTTCACTTTTGTTTCACATTATCATTGATGGAATGTCCCTTTTTGTTTGTTTAGAACTCTGCTAGATCTTGTCATGGATGAACACTTTCCATCAATAAAACGGAATGATTCTAATAGATATCTGGTAAGATACAAAATGTTTCCATAAACATCCATAGCAAACATTCTTATACAAATGTATGAAATACTGATAGAAAAACCCTCTTTCTCTTTCCCCCTTCTTTTCTAGCTAAAAGGAAGCACTTTGTATAGTAACTACTTCTTACTATGGCAATACTAATATTGCTGTTGGTGCATATTTAACAGTGACATTCCATAAGCCAAACGACACAATGAAGTTGGCATGTAATCACAATGGCTACTTACTTATAACTAATTAGTAGTCCTGGGTGGTTACTTTGAAGATCGGGAAAGGCACACTGTGGAAGAGGACTTAACCCATTTCACCTGGACTGTTCTTTCAGGTCCAAGCCTCCCACAAATATAAAGCTACAGTGATACTTACCGCTTCATCACATTTACTAAATATCACTGAGTGCTATACTTAAAATGTGGCAAGCCACTGTGTTCATCACATTAGGTTGGGTTCAAGTGTAGGATAGAGCATTCTTTGCATATTTTAAGCTTGGGGGCAGCATTCTTTTCAAACGTTTGAGGAGTTGGTGGGAAAGTGGATCTTTAATAATGATCTGAATGTTTAGCCAATTATGTAATGTGATGGCATTTGTTGTTCTCAGGTTTAAAATGAAATGTTTCTCCAATTTTTAGGAGGGGAAATTGTGGGAGGAGCCAAAAGTACCCTTCTCTGGATGCATCTGCACTGGAGAATAAATACAGTTAGGACCCACTGTAAATGCCATTATTATTATTATTATTATTATTATTATTATTATTATTATTATTATTATTATTATGCCAAGTCTCCATGCTGTGCAGTCCTTAATTTAAATACCATAGCTCCATACTATGTGGTCCTGGGAATTACAGTTTCTCAAGGTCCATACCCTTCTCTGGGTGTATCTACACTGTGGAATGAATGCAGATGGACCTTACTTTAAATACCATGTCTCCATACTATGCTGTTCCCGGGAGTTATAGTTTTCTAAGGTCCATACCCTTCTCTGTGGGGCAGCTGAGAGGGCTGCTTTCCTTCCCTCCCTCCCTTCCTGCTTCCTTGCTTCAGAATTGAAGACACATAACAGATGACATTTCAAAGAGAGGAGGGTTTTCCCCACAAAGAACAAGGGGGAGGAATGGTGGGCGGTGCCTAATTACAGTGTGATGGCAAATGAACTGAAGTAATGTTGCATATAACTGAGTAACACGGATACATTTAGCAATGTGATGAAGGTAGGGAAATATTTGCTATCATTTCAAAACCGAGTCTGACTGAGCTTTACTCTACCAAACACATCTCTGTTTCAATGTGATGAAGTCATTAGTATTGGTTATTTGGTTTTCCCAGATTTCTAAATAAATTGTGGCAAAAATTCACTGTAGGGTTCTCACTTCATATCTAGTTTATCTTGAGACTTAATTGTTTTCAGATTTTTTTTGTAAAAATGTAGGCTGGGATTCATCACCAAATAGCAAAGTGGATGATGCAGAGTTGTTGCCATATGTTTGACAAAAGTGTATCTGAATTATAGTATGCAAACCTTTCTGTTTTGTTTCAGGCCTTTTTCTCTACAGTAGTGTCCGAGACGGCAAAGTTGATGGCCTTATGGATGTCAGTAGGTTTTGCTCATGGTGAGATATATTTGTGGTATTGTTTGGGGTTTTTTTTAACAAATGTAACATACCTTAAAAGGTAAAGGTTGTCCTCTGACATTAAGTCCAGTCATGTCTGACTCTGGGGTGTGGTGCTCATCCCCATTTCTAAGCTGAAGAGCTGGCGTTGTCCATAGGCACCTCCAAGGTCATGTGGCCGGCATGACTGCATGGAGTGCCATCACCTTCCCACCGGAGTGGTACCTATTGATCTATTCACATTTGCATGTTTTCGAACTGCTAGGTTGGCAGAAGCTACAGCTGACAGCGGAAGCTCATGCCGCTCCCCGGAATTGAGCCTGCGACCTTTCGGTCAACAAGCTCAGCAGCTCGGCGCTTTAACCCACTGCGCCACCAGGGGCTCCTTAACATACCTTAGGTTCTGCTAAAATTGAGTGTAATCTCCCAAATAGGATGAAATCTTCCTCCCCCAAGACTTCACCCTGGCATTTTGCACTTCATTTATTGTTGTAGTTGTTAGATGCCCTCAAGTTGAATCTCCTGTGGAATAATAATAATAATAATAATAATAATAATAATAATAATTTGATCTCATCCACCTTGGCGAAGCCCCTGGTGACTGAGCTGCTGAACTTGCTGACTGAAAGGTTGGTGGTTCGAATTCGTGGAGCAGGGTAAGCTCCTGCTGTAAGCCTCAACTTCTATCAACCTAGCAGTTCAAAAACATGCAAATGTGAGTAGATCAATAGGTACATCTTTATCAGGAAGGTAATGGCACTCCATGCAGTCATGCTGGCCACATGACCTTGGAGGTGTCTACAGACAATGGACAACACTGGCTCTTCAGCACAGAAATGGAGATGAACACCACCCCTCAGAGTCAGACACGACTAGATTTAATGTCAAGGGAAAACCCCACCTTGGTTGTTCTTATGTTTTATCTTGATTTTAATGTCCACATGGTTTTATTGCATTTGCTGTTTTGAATATTTATATTTTAATGGGTGGTTTTAACTTTGTATTGTATGTTTTTATTCTGTTGTAACTGCCTTGGGTCTGTGCTCAGAGAAAAGCGGGATATAAATTTCTCAAATAGTAAATAAATAAATAAATAAATAAATAATGTTCTTATTTAATTTTAGGTGTGTGCAACACTGATAATTTCAGCCTCTTATCTATAACCATAGATTATGGCCCATTTGGGTTCATGGATTCTTACGACCCAGGTGAGTACAGCCTACATGAATGCAGAATTGATTTTGCCTGAGATAAAAAATACAGAATCTTAAACAAATTGTGCATGTATATGTGTTTAGTTTGTGTGATACATTCTCATTCTTTATTGTTTCCTGAAATTTATTCTTTCACACAACTGCAAAAGCTTTGTGTCATCAACTTTCCTAAGTTCTGCTATATTCAGTGGAACCTTCTTGATTACGGTGGGACAAAAGAGTATCTAACATGCTGAGAAACCAATCCAGTTTGATACATTCATAATTTTTTAAAAGCCCCTTTGTGGCTTTATTTTGAAAACTTAATTTTCTTTACCAATAACTGCCCTCTATAGGGAATCCATAATGGATGCTGCATAGCAACAAATACAAATGACAATAACACCATAACCTAGAAAGCAAACACTTAGCAGGAGAGCAGTGTCTCAGCATGGATTATCCTGCTTGGCAACTGATATGTGCCAGGGGTGATTCTGAATTGCTCAATGACAATTTATGTCTTTTCTCTAGGGTGCAATTGGCAAGAATAGCTGTCAGTTGTCACTACCCTGCTTGTCAGCACAAAGGAAGTGAAGGCCACAAAGTCAGCAGGGTATTTTTCTTCATATGTGGAAGCTAGCTATATATGAATGAGACATTAGTCTTTTTGGCCTGTTACAAATATGACCAAAGTGGTCATTTTGTTTCACATTGGAAGCTACACCAAACAAGTGAAGCAAAGCATTCAAGAAATTCCTTTAACACTGGACCCAGGCGTCTGCTTTTTGAATGATTCCCATGATTCTAATTTACACTTGTATGGACACTCTATAGCAGGGATCCACAAACTTTTTAAATGGAGGACCAGGTCACAGTCCCTCAAACTGTTGGACGGCCGGATTATAATTTGAAAAAAGCATGAATGAATTCCTTATGCACACTGCACATAGCTTATTTGTAGTGCAAACACACACACACTAAAAAACAATACAATAATTAACATGAAGAACAATTTTAGCAAATATAAACTTATTAGTATTTTAATGGGAAGTGTGGGCTTGCTTTTGGCTGGTGAGATAGGATTGTTGTTGTTGTGTGCTTTCAAGTTGTTTCAGACTCAGATTGACCCTGAGCGAGGGCCGGGTAAATGACCTTGGAGGGCCGTATCCTGCCCCCAGCCCATAGTTTGAGGACCCCTGCTCTATAGAAGACATATAGTCTTTTAATCTGCATTTGATAGAGGTCTGTGTGTTCATTTACTGAATGACTGTGTGTTTCTACTTAAAGGCATGGCAAAGGATTTTGGACATTGGGGGAATCTTGCCATTGCAGAATGACTGTGGGAAAAATAATATATGTGTAGTTGATTTATTTACTATATCTGTATACCACCTTTCTCAACCTATTGGCGACTCAACATGAAAATTGAAGTTTTGATATTGCTTTCTCTTTTGAATGGTAGGTAGCAGTATTATTCTAACAGTAACCCAATGTTCATATCAGTGAACATTCAAAATACATTGAAGAAAAAGTAAAGGTTTCCCCTCGACATTAAGCCTAGTCGTGTCCAACTTTGGGCATTGGTGCTCATCTCAGTTTCTAAGCCAAAGAGCCGGTGTTGTCTGTAGATACCTCCAAGAGCATGTGGCCAGCATGACTGCATGGAGTACTGTTACCTTCTCGCTAAAGCGGTACCTATTGATCTACTCACATTTGCTGTTTTCGAACTGCTCGGTTGGCAGAAGCTGGGGCTAACAGAGGGAGCTCACCCCACACCCTGGTTTCAAACCTTTCGGTCAACAAGTTCAGCAGCCCGCCCCTTTAACCCGCTGTGCCACCAGGGGCTCCACATTGAAGAAATTGATGCCTTACATTGATGCCTAGTTTACAGGCACAGTTACGTTCTTTTCTTTTTACAAATGGAAAACAACTGTAGGTTTTTAAGACATTGAAGAAAGGGATGCCTTCAAAACCTATGGTTGTTTTCATTTGTAAAAAGAAAAGAACATAACTGTCATCTGTAAACTACTGTGCTAACAACATGTTCTTTCTCTGGCAAATATTAGTTCTTAGGGCTAAATGAATATCTGTAGAATTGTGGATAAAAAAAAATAGGGCCTGGAGGATTTTTGTTAATTTCAATCAAGATGAAAAATTAACCTACCGTATATTCCGGCATATAAGACGACTGGGCGTATAAGACGACCCCTAACTTTTCCAGTTAAAATATAGAGTTTGGGATATACTTGCCGTATAAGACCACCCCTCTTCCAATGCACACCAAATTTTAAAAAATTAAAAATCAGATTTGAATTCAATATGGTAATTTTAATTCAAATGCTTCTGACATGCAGGTTCCTATGAGAGGGACATTGTACCTTATATTGGACATTACAGTTGCTCTTCCTCCCTTGAATTTCATTTACACTCTGGGTCCTTTACATCATGCTGGCAAGTATGAAAGCAGGCTTTAAATGTTTCAGATTACATTTATGTTGGCATAGAAGCTTGCATGCAAATAGAAGTCAGGCTTTGTACGATGAGTACTGAGGTGAAGGCAAAGCATTTGTAGAATTTTTATCTATAAGCAGTCTTTATAAATCAGGACCTCCTATCAGAAGAGAGGGGCAGATTGGACCCCCATCCTTCAGAAATGTAGCATTTGGCATGGCACATCTTTACTGGGTCACATCTTGACATGTCTTCATCCTTAAATCACTGTGACAGCTTGAATTGTTTTAGAGTTTCTCAAGAACACAGCCAGGTGATGTTTAATTGTTAGAAGGGGAAAAGAGATCAGAAAAGAGGAAGGGGGACCCTGGGTCAATAAGAGCTTTCCAGTTTGACTTCTGTCAAAAATGAAATGCAAAGATACAGGATGGGGGACGCGTGGCTCGAGAGCGGTATGTGTGAAAAAGATCTTGGGGTCCTTGTGGACAACAAGTTAAACATGAGCCAACAATGTGATGTGGCAGCAAAAAAAAAAAAAAAACCAATGGGATTTTGGCCTGCATCAATAGGAGCATAGTGTCTAGATCCAGGGAAGTCATGCTCCCCCTCTATTCTGCCTTGGTTAGACCAAACCTGGAATTACATTGTGTCCAATTCTGGGCACCACAACTGAAGGGAGATGTTGACAAACTGGAATGTGTCCAGAGGAAGAGGGTGACTAAAATGATCAAGGGTCTGGAGAACAAGCCCTATGAGGAGCGGCTTAAAGAACTGGGCATGTTTAGCCTGAAGAAGAGAAGGCTGAGAGGAGACATGATGAAAGCCATGTATAAATATGTGAGAGGAAGTTATAGGGAAGAGAGAGCAGATCAAGGGTCTGGAGAACAAGCCCTATGAGGAGCGGCTTAAAGAGCTGGGTATGTTTAGTCTGAAGAAGAGAAGGCTGAGAGGAGACATGATGAGAGCCATGTATAAATATGTGAGAGGAAGTCATAGGGAGGAGAGAGCAGATCAAGGGTCTGGAGAACAAGCCCTATGAGGAGTGGCTTAAAGAGCTGGGTATGTTTAGCCTGAAGAAGAGAAGGCTGAGAGGAGACATGATGATAGCCATGTATAAATATGTGAGGGGAAGCTACAGGGAGGAGGGAGCAAACCTGTTTTCTGCTTCCCTGGAGACTAGGACGAGGAACAATGGCATCAAACTACAAGAGAGGAGATTCCATCTGAATATGAGGAAGAACTTCCTGACTGTGAGAGCCGTTCATCAGTGGAACTCTCTGCCCTGGAGTGTGGTGGAGGCTCCTCCTTTGAGGCTTTCAAACAGAGGTTGGATGACCATCTGTCAGGGGTGATTTGAATGCGATTTTCCTGCTTCTTGGCAGGATGGGGTTGGACTGGATGGCCCAGGAGGTCTCTTCCAACTCTTTGATTCTATGATTCTATATGAAAACATTTAGTTTGCACTTCAGTACATAATGTGGACAGAGGGTCCTGAAGAGCAATGAAATGTTGCTTTTGGCAAGCCAGGTGCTGTCTATATTCATGATCTGAATGGCTGAAACACAGTTCGCCTTTCAGGAAAAAAAGCTGCATTAAGGCAGGAGGAAAAGAAATGTACTTTTGACAAACAAAATATTTTGATCAGCAGTTGGATTTCTGTTACCATTATCAATAAAAGGATCACTTACAAGTATTTTTGGTTTGTGTTTCTTCTTAAATATTGTATTTACTCACTCAAATTAAAATGCCTCAATACAGTCTTCCTCCTGAAATCAAGCTCCTGCCTGGCTCCTCCCCTTTCCCCCTCCGCGCGGTTGCTAGGGAACACGCCCTTAGCTGCAAAAGAGAAGCAGCGTGCTCTGGACTTTACCACTGTCCTCTTGGCGGGGGGGGGGGGGGGGATTGGAGCTGTAAAACTTTGGCCACCAATTTCACAGCCGTTTTCTCCCCCTCCCCTGGATTCAAACTAAAGAGTTTGTGTTATTGCTTAAACCCAGCACAGAAATAGTTGAGTTACTTGCTGTGGGTGCTGGATTGAAATACCAAGGACTGTACCATTACTTTTCCAGCATGGAGTGAACTTCTCGGCCCTCCGCAATAGCCTGGTTTGTGTATTACTTTCTTATTTAGGGTCCTTCTAGGCCCCTTCAATTTATATCCGGAAGACAAGACGACCCCCAACTTTTGAAAGGGTTTTTAAGGTTTCAAAAGTCGTGTAATAGCCCGGAATATACGGTACTCAAATTCTGAATGTTCTCTTGTACATAAAAATGCCATTTTGTTTCAGACTTTGTCCCAAACACATCTGACGATGAAAGACGATATAAAATAGGAAACCAGGCAAATGTTGGGCTGTTTAATCTGAACAAGCTGTTACAGGCTCTAAACCGTTTATTGGATCCCAGACAAAAGCAGCTGTAAGTAATCCTTTGAAATGTCTTCACACTTAAAAGAGCCAGTGAGATGAGACATGCTTTAATGGCCATATGTGAGAAGAAAAAGATGGTTCGTTAGAAGAAATGGTTTTGGAAATCAGAAGACAGAACTTGCAAGAAACAAGAGGAGGAAAAGAGAAATTCATGCATACAACTGGCAGATATTGGTAGTTCCCTTTCATAGATTTGGCCTGGTGTTGCTGCTGTTGTCCAAATGGAAAAGACAAAACTAAAACACCAGCAATTAAGATGCCTTTAAAAAGATGTTTATCTGATTAAATTAGTTTTGGGAGCCAAATGGAAAAGAGGTCTCTTTGGCCACCAGTGTTTTTATACATGGTCAGCTTGAAAACTTCCTTTCCATCTGTTCTGTTAGCAGCACTGACTCATCTAAGAAGAAGGGGGGAAAACACTGTGTCTATTCCTGTCCTGATGAGGCATCATTGCTTTGATGCAGTTTCCAGTTCCTTGTGTATCTAGCCACAGTAGACATCTGAACACATGTAATGGGAATTGTAATAGGAAATGTATAGTATTTATTCCAGAATTGAATATTTGAGCCACGGTAGAGTTGTGGACTCCCACGCAACCTCAGAAGAAATCAAAGGCAAGCTCTCTCTGAATTAATCTTACCAAGAAAACCCCGTAATACGCTGTCTTGAGTCCATATGTCGGGGGGAAAGTTGGGTAAAAATTAAGTAAATAAACACAACAATAACCAATTAATGATATTGTGGGAATATCTCAGGATGGGACGAGTTACATATTGTTCCTTACAAGGTTTGTGAGTTCAGATGTAACATTCCTGGTTTACTTAATAGTGAAGGCAAAAAAAAAAAAAAGAGCTATTATTATCCTGAATTTTCTCCTCTTCTGCTCATGTATTCTTCAGTACTTCAATTGTGCTTCCTTTATGTGAGTGTCCCAGGATGTCTGGGAAATGTTGGCTTGATGTTTAAAATGTGATTTTAAATTGCAAGACCGAAGTGCCCAAACTGGCACATGAGGAAAGGGGAACATGCAGGCTGAATATTCATTTCTGGCTCTGTTACATCTGAAGGAACCCAACTGATTTTGTCTTGCAATATGGCTTTTCCTAGCAGAGGGCTCATTTCCAAAAGTGTTATGTTTCAAATTAATGGAATTAAAACAGCATAAAATAGAAGATGTTAATTCTCCAAGTTAAACATACCGCGTCTTGTAAAGTCAACATTTTGTTGCATAACACTGACAAACATACATACACACACACACACTGTATATACTCAAGTATAAGCCAACCCAAATATAAGCCCAGGTACCAAATTTTACCACAAAAAACTGGAAAAACGTATTGACTCAAGTATAAGCCGGGGGTGGGAAATGCAACAGCTACTAGTAAATTTCAAAATAAAAAATAGATACCAATAAAATGTCATTAATTGAGGCATCAGTAGGTTAAATGTTTTTGAATCTTTAGATAAAACTGTAATTTAAGCTAAGACTGTCCAACTCTGATTAAACCATTATTCTAACCTTCTTCAATGTAAATATGCTTATGTATTCTTCCAATAATGATAAAGAGAGTAAAATAATAAATGTAATAATAATAATAATAATAATGGAGTAAAATAATGGAACCATAATAATAACACTAATAATAGATAAAATAAATGTAATAATAATAAAATTAAATAATAAATTTAATAATAATAATAAATAGAGTAAAATAATAAATGTAATAATAATAGAGTAAAATAATAATAATAATAATAATAATAATAATAATAATAACAACAACAACAACAGATTAAATGATTAATTACCTTGAATCAAGTATAAGCCGAGGGGGGCTTTTGCAGCATGAAAAAGGGCTGAAAAACTCAGCTTATACTCGAGTATATATGGTATATACATTGTGTGGAATTTTTACAAAGAAAAGAAAGTAAGATTCAGTCATGAGTAGAATACTCTGTTTTAAACTAACAGGGTAAAGTTACTGATTTATAAAAATAATTTTTTTATGTGCCTTCAAGTCGATTCAATCTATGACAATCCTCTCATAGAGTTTCCTTGGTGAGATTTATTTGGAGCGGGATTGCCATTGCTTTCCTCTGGGGCTGAGAGACTTTGATTTGGCCAAAGTCATCTAGTGGATTTCCATGGCTGAACAGGGATTTGGACCTTGGTCTCCCAGAATCCTTATCCGACTCTTGAACCAGCTGGCTAATCACTCTGTCTTTTTAAGAAGAATTACAAAATGGCACATGATTCTGTGAGTTTTGTGTAATTGATTTGCTAGTTTTATATCTAGCATACATTTTGATCGAGCATGTCACATCTTCATTTAACAGGGCTTCTCAGATACTTATGGGATATTCTGAGCAATATTATAGATGGTATGTAATAGTCAAAATCATCTTTTTCACTTAAAATATATCAGGCATTTCCAGTGTTGTAGTGTTAATACATTTTGTTCTGTTGACTCTTAGCTTTTCAGAAATATTCAAACGAAAATTAGGTCTCCTAGGCGATGATGATGGGGATAACTATTTAATTGCATTCCTCCTTAAAGTGAGTTTCTTTCTCCGGTTAAATATTTGAACTGCAGTTTATCAGAGAACTAAAAAGGTGACACAGAAATCTGCTACTATTTATTAGCTCATGGAAGATTCGAGAGCAGATTTCACCATGACTTTTCGACAGCTCAGTGAAATTTCAGAAGACCAACTGAAGGCACTTAGCATCCCTAAGGTACTTATACATTGCATTTGAAGAATGTGTAAATTGTTTTAAATCTAGATCCATGACTGTATTAGGAGGTATTTGTTTCTTTTAAGAGTAATTTGCAAAGATGGTGTGGTTGGTTGCTAAAATTAAAATCTTGTGCATTGAAAGCAGAAATGAGGGATATGGATATGTTTTGTTTGTTTCAGGGAGACAAGAGTAGCTGAGCTTAGTGAAACAGCTGCCTGTTCCGTTGTGGATCTTTCTCAATCTCTGTTTCCATGGTAGCAAAGCATCCAGGAATTTGACTGTTTTCCAAGCAGGAGCCAAAGGAGAGGGAGCATAACAGTACAATCCCCATATTCATGCAACCAATATTTGCAGTTTCACTAATCCATGGTTTCACTAATTCAGTTATACACTTAGTGCCTCTTGTACAAGGTACATGCTCTTCAGTATCTCTGTTGTTCATCCCATTGAAAATAATAATGTTTGGTATTATTTGCGACGTCATGTGTCTGCAAAGTCCGAGAATATTTTCCTCATGGATCCGGGGGGTCGTACGGTATTTGCGTACGACCCCCCGTGTGGTGTGACACCAATTACAGAATCATAAAGGTTGGAGAGCTTATTTTTTTTAACTCGCCTTGATCCCATAATCTAATAATACCCTGTTTTCATTAGCAAGCTTAAGGTTGGATTGGTCCCTTACTGACACTTTGCCCTGTCTTAATTCCAATAGCTCACTTCAAAGCTTCTGTCCTAGACAGAATCTTTAAAATTGATGTTTTGTGTCATTGAAGTTGACTCCATCTTATGGCAACCTATCATAGAGTTTTCTTGGCAAGATTTAGTCAGAGGAGGTTTAGCATGGCTTTCCACTTAAGACTGAAAGAGTATTACAAGGACTTTTTTTTTACTTCCCATGTGCTGGAGTAATTCTTGTCCTTTAAAACATCCCTTTAGTACTTTGAAGGAAAAAAATGTGGCACTAAATAATGCTACTTAAAATAGGCTGATTTAAATGAATGGGTCATAATCACAACTAAACTCAGTCCTATTGATTTTAGTTGGAAAAGACTAAAATTGGATTTAGCCCCCTATCCTCCTTGGACTAAAATCATTAGCCTAACAAATGGAAAACTCAGATAGGTTTGAGATAAAATCTGTGGTTTATGTTTTCATTAGTCCTGCCTCTTGTATTTTCTAAGCCTTGAGGGCTTGTATTGATTAATTCACATCACAAGTGGTGGCTGGAAGCCCTTTCCACACTTGGAAAAGGCAATTCTCCAACTCTCTGTGCAGCATGTATTTCTGTAATGCTGTTTAAGAGGCACATGACTGTTTCAAGGAGCACTGTAATCATGTTGACTGACATTTGGGAAAACTTGTAATAAGCTGAAGCATTAAAAAAATGTGGGTAGCTAACCATATATCCGGCACAGTCTGGTTTCAGACCGGGACATGGTACCGAGACGGTCTTGGTCGTCTTAGTGGATGATCTGCGCCGGGAGCTAGACAGGGGGAGTGTGTCCCTGTTGGTGCTCCTGGACCTCTCAGCGGCCTTCGATACCGTCGACCACGGTATTCTTCTGGGGCGCCTTGCAGAGATGGGTCTCGGGGGCACTGCGCTGCAGTGGCTCCGATCATTTCTGGAGGGTCGTACCCAGAAGGTGTTATGGGGGGACTCCTGTTCAGCGCCACGGCCGTTGACCTGTGGCGTTCCTCAGGGTTCCATCTTGTCCCCCCTGCTGTTTAACATCTACATGAAGCCGCTGGGTGAGATCATCCGGAGTTTCGGGGTGCGGTGTCACCTGTACGCAGATGATGTCCAACTCTGTCACTCCTTTCCACCTGCTACTAAGGAGGCTGTCGAGGTCCTGAACCGGTGCCTGGCCGCTGTAATGGTCTGGATGAGGGCGAACAAACTGAAATTAAATCCAGACAAGACAGAGGTACTCCTGGTCAGTCGCAAGGCCGAACAGGGTATAGGGTTACAGCCTGTGCTGGACGGGGTCGCACTCCCCTTGAAGACGCAGGTTCGCAGCTTGGGTGTGATCCTGGATTCATCACTGAGCCTGGAGCCCCAGGTTTCGGCGGTGACCAGGGGAGCATTTGCACAGCTTAGGCTCGTGCGCCAGCTGCGCCCGTATCTTGGGAAGCCTGACTTGGCCACGGTGGTACATGCTTTGGTCACATCCCGCCTCGACTACTGCAACGCTCTCTACGTGGGGCTGCCCTTGAAGACGGCCCGGAAGCTTCAGCTAGTCCAACGCGCGGCAGCCATGTTATTAACAGGAGCAGGACGCAGAGAGCGTACAACGCCCCTGCTGTCCCAGCTCCACTGGCTGCCGATCTGCTACCGGGCCCAATTTAAGGTGCTGGTGTTAGCCTACAAAGCCCTAAACGGTTCCGGCCCAAAATACCTTGCAGACCGCATCTCGGCCTACGAGCCCACGAGGGCCTTGAGATCATCCGGGGAGGCCCTTCTCTCGGTCCCGCCTGCCTCACAGGCACGTCTGGCGGGGACGAGGGAGCGGGCCTTCTCGGTGGTGGCCCCCCGGTTGTGGAACACCCTCCCTACTGAAGTTAGACAGGCGCCCACTTTGATGGCCTTTCGCAGGAGCCTGAAAACTTGGCTCTGCGAGCAGGCCTTCAACTAAGGGTATCTGTGGAACGACTTAGAATGGACTATGACTACGAACTTGGCCATGACCCCAGGATCAGACGAAGCGGATTTTTAGTATAAGTATATGTCGTAGTAGTAGCTTGTTATGTATTGTGATGATTTTTGTATGCTGTCCTTTCATGTTGCTGTTCACCGCCACGAGTCGCCCCTAGGGCTGAGAGTGGCGGTCAATAAGTACAAGAAATAAATAAATAAATAAATAAATATAGTCCTGTACATGTCATAAATGGTCTTAAAGGAAAAGTAAAGGTTTCCCCTTGACATTGAGTCTAGTTGTGTCCAACTCTGGGGGGTGGTGCTCATCTCCATTTCTAAGCTGAAGAGTTGGCGTTGTCCATAGACGCCTCCAAGGTCATGTGGCCAGCCTGACTGCATAAAGCACCGTTACCTTCCCACAGAAGCAGTATCTATTGATCTACTCACATTTGCATGTTTTCGAACTGCTAGGTTGGCAGAAGCTGGGACTAACAGCAGGAGCTTACTCCACTCCCTGGATTTGAACTTGCTGACCTTTCAGTCAGCAAGTTCAGCAGCTTAGTGGCTTAACCCGCTGCACCACCATGGGGCCCAAATGGGCTTAACCCCCTCTTAAAATAGCATACAATTGTAATTTAAAGATTTCCCTTCATTCCAAAACAGAATAAGTTTGCTTTTCAACCATATTTAGAATGACATCCATTGGCATATATCCTTCTTCAGTCTAGAAAGCTTAAGAAGGACATATGCCAATGGATGTTTTGTTTTTGTTCTGATCAGCCTTTGGGTGAACTTGTCTGTGTTGTTTTAAAAATTTGTTATAGAGGAGGATATGCAGGAGGATATGGCATGCAATATATGGGTTTTTTTTTGGGTCAGAAGCGACTTGAGAAACTGCAAGTTGCTTCTGGTGTGAGAGAATTGGCCATCCGCAAGGGCATTGCCCAAGGGATGCTTGGATGGTTTACCATCCTGTGGGAGGCTTCTCTCATATCCCTGCATGAGATGCTGGAGTTGACAGACGGGAGCTTACCCCGCTCCCCAGATCCGAACCGCCGAACTTTTGGTCAGCAGTCCTGCCAGCACCCATTGCGCCACCGGGAGTTAAAAACCATCGTTAGAACATCACGATGTTCAGAACTGCTATTTTAGTGGAACTATTAGTGGATTCACCAAATAAACCTATGCACATCATGAGATTGAATGGAAAATGAATTGGCCCACTAATTGGACTTGAATTTACTTTTTTAAATGAATGAGCTTCAGACAGAATAAAGTTTCCCCAAATAATTCTTGGTTTTACACCAAAAATAAAACAATGGAAACTTCCTTTGAGCTGAATGAGGCATCTATTTGCAAGAGGTATTCTTAAATCCAACATTTCTGAGCCAAGGAATATCAAATCAGCATTTCAGACTGTCAAGGAAATGACAATAATGAATTATGCATGATTCCTGTGCATAAGGGAAGTGACAGACAGAAGGAGTAGTGAGTATTCAGAGGTTAAAGTTAGATCAATATAACAAAAATGGTATAAATAAAAATAGACAATTCACAAACAATTTTATAATCTTTCTTTACAGTCCCAACTGGGTACTTTTTTTTTTTTTTTGTCGTGTCAGGAGTGACTTGAGAAACTGCAAGTCGCTTCTGGTGTGAAAGAATTGACCGTCTGCAAGGACGTTGCCCAGGGGACGCCCGGATGATTTTTGATGTTTTTATCATTGTGGGAGGCTTCTCTCATGTCCCCGCATGAGGAGCTAGAGCTGATAGAAGGAGCTCATCCGCTTCTCCCTGGATTCGAACCTGCGACCTGTCGGTCTTCAGTGCTGCCGGCACAGGGGTTTGATCCACTGCGTCACCAGGGGCTCCTGGGTACTAACATTATATATTGTAACTCCTGAAACATAACCTACATAAGTATGAAAAGGAGAAAAGTCCAAATGTCTGGTATATATAAATTACACAACAACAAGTAATCCCGGGTAATTTATTTATTTATTTTATTTACATCACTTATATCCCGCCCATACAAGTCCTTGTTTTGGGGGATCCCGAATCCAATATTCTTTCTGGATATCCACTCATCTTTAATGAATCTTTGAAGGGCTCTATTATGGATTCGAAGTCTTCCTGTAGGCTGGTGTTACAGTTTAATCTTAATAAATGATTATATGGTAAATTAGATTTTAAGGCATGGTGATGGAAACTGTTGAAGCCTTTAACAGCCACCCTAAACTACAAATCCCAGAATTCTGCAGGAAGCAGAAACCAGATTTAAAGTGGAATCATTATCTAGTGTGATGAAGTAGTTGGCCTATTTCACCAGATGCAGTAGACAAACTAGATTTAGAGTACATCTACACTATAGGATTAATGTTATTTCCATTTGAACTGCCATGGCTCAATGTTATGGAATCCTAGAAGTTGTGAGGCATGGGCACTCTTTGCCAGAGAAGGCTAAAGAGCTTGTAAAACTACAACTCCTAGGATTCCATAGCATTGAGCCATGGCAATTGGTGGTATCACGCTGCATTAATTCTACAATGTGGATGCACCCTTAGTTTATGAAAACGTATGCTATTGTTTTCTCCCAGTTCATCTCAAATGAGCTGCAAGACCTTTCTCTGCACTGTCTTTGCTGCTGACCTCCCTGGATGCTTTCATGACATGAATTGCAGCAGGACTTAAAGAAAAACATCTAAGATAAAAGGGATTGCCAAGGGAACATTATGGTTAAGGTGAAGTTTTAGTAATCCTTTCCTGCCTACTGCTTCTCACTTGCAAGTAATCCTTTTCTACCATGCCTCTACCATCCATCTTGGTCGGAAATCCTTTTAGTTTGTTACTGAATCTTTCATCCTTGCAGAGTTTGGGCCACATGTCTCTCTTTTTCCTCTCTCACATCTGCTCATAGGGTGGATAGTCACAGCTGGAACAACATAATTGTGTGTCTGATAACATATGCTTGTCTTCTTACTCCTGATCTTTCAAAGATGGTAGATATGGAGCTCATAATGTGGAAACTTTGTTCAGTACTGTTGCAGATCACCAGAAATCCTTGGAGATGATTTTATCACTGCTTTATGTTGTTTATATATATATCATGAAGCAACACATGTTTTATGATCATTGTGTAACTATATATAACTAATTATTTCCATGTAGGATTTTTGGGCTTTACAGGACGTGGCTGAACATGAGTTCTTTTCCAGCTGGGTGGATCTTTATCTCTTGAGGTTGAAAAGGTAAAAAAAAATACAATTGTATCAATTTATAGTGATTGCAAATACACAGGTAGGTAGTTAAAGAGATAGATTGTATATATAGAAAAGGAAAAGGCGTTGGACATCTCCCAAGATATTTTAGAGGTCTGGACACACATTTAAACAATGCTTAGAATGATATTGCCACATAAAATAATGTTTAAAAGAAGATTGTTTTCATGTAACATCAGTTCTGGTGGATGATGCTTTAGTTGTAAGGATGATGGGAGTTAAACAGTTCTGGCTCAACTTAACTGTCTGAATGTATCTCCTCTTATGAACCGCCTTAGAGATTCACATCATCTGGGGAGGCCCTGCTCTTGGTCCTGCATCCTTCACAGGCACGACTGATGGGGCCGAGAGTCAGGGCCTTCTTAGTGGTGGTCCCTCGGCTGTGGAACTCCCTCCCAAGTGATATTAGATCAGCTCCCTCCCTCTTGGCCTTCAGAAGGAAAGTAAAAACGTGGCTCTGGGGTCAAGCCTTTGGAAATTTAACTAGAGTGCTATATGGAATTATGTGCAATGACTTTTGGAATGGCCCCAGATTACACTTGTGTATGGCGTGGTTTTTAGTAGTGATTGTAATGTTTTATATGTTTTTAAGGTGCATTTAATTTTAATTTTAAAACTTTAACTTAATGTATTTGAACTGTTTGTTGTTCAAAGGTATTGAATAGTTGCCGTATGTAAAGTCACTTTGGGTCCCCTGTGGGGTAGAGAAGGGTCGGCTACAAATCAAATGAATAAATAAATAAATAGAATTGTACATGGCACTCAATAGACATGTCTCATTTAAAAATAACATTTTCCTTTAAAAATAAAAAAGCAAGAGACAATTTTTCTATGAGATGCTGGAGACAGTGCATGTTTATGTATGTAGCATCATACCTTAGGTATTGAACATTTTATTACTGTCTTTAAGAGGTTGACCTAATAAATCATAATTAAAATCCAATTCTTTTAGTTTTATATTCTTGTTCATGTTTATTCCCCCTGTTCAGTCAGCTATGTTTTAGCAGTCCAAGATTGTTTTGTCTGGACTAGTTCAGATAAGACATACAAAACAAGAGACGCAAATTGAATTTTCTGGTTCTCTTTTTTGTGTATTATGTAGCAATACAGGTGACTTAGATTCAGAGAGGAAAAGAAGAATGACAGGTGAGTCAAGCTAAAAAAAATCCTTCTGAAGTATTCACAATCTCCTAATACAGACCAGACTCTTTCCTGTCACTTAATTAAGATAATGATATTATGTTGGGCTTCCAAGCGCATGTACGTTTAGGAAAGTACTTCTGTTGTTATTTCAATATGTGGATTATTTATTCTCTTTTCCCATGACCTACATTGTTAGTGTTGTTAATTGCGATCAAGTAACTTCCAACTCTATGAGTTAGAGACCTTTTATGAGCAGCCGCTAAGACCTTGTGAATCTTTATTGTCTGTTCATCTATAATGTTGTCCACATCTTTTCCCACTGTTTTCTACCTTACCAAACATTATTGTCTTTTCTAAAGAGTCACACCTTCTTATAACATGTCCAGGTTAGACCATCTCAGTTTAGTCATGTTGACTTTTAGGGGGAGATTAGACAGTTCCATTTGACAAATGTCATGTGCAAAGTTTCCATCAAGCAAGTATGCTGTTAATAATAATAATAATAATAATAATAATAATAATAATAAGAAGAAGAAGAAGAAGAAGAAGAAGAACAACAACAACAACAACAACAACAACAACTTTATTTTTATACCCCGACAACAACAACAACAACAACAACAACAACAACAACTTTATTTTTATACCCCGCCTCCATCTCCCCAAAGGGACTCGGGGTGGCTTACAGAGGGACAAGCCCAAGAATTACAAATAAAACAGACACAATAAAAATAATCAATAACAACAAATAATAAAAACATTAAAATCAATTAACATAATAAAAACACCCTGGCTAGCCAAATTGAAACAGGGTGTTTTTATGCTCAGAGTAAGTGCAATGATTCCTTGGGAGAGACGAGGGAAAGTGCAATAGTCAGAGGGCTGGGTTGCCAGGGTACCGCCCTTGGCCATTAAAGTGTCATAAGTACAGGAAAGGGGCCAACTAAAGTGCCGGAGCTTAGATAAGTTCAGGATAATTCTCAAGTGAAACTGCCTAGTCAAAGGCACAACGGAACTGCCAAGCTTTTAATTCCTTGTGGAAAATGGAGAGAGTAGGGGCCTGTCTGATCTCCTAGGAAGAGAGTTCCAAAGCCAAGGGCCTACCACAGAGTAGGCTCTCTCCCTCGTCCCCACCAACCGCGCTTGAGATGGCGGTGGGAACAAGAGAAGAGCCTCCCCAGAGGATCTTAGAGTACGTGCTGGTTCGTAGGGGAAGATGCAATCACAGAGATAGGCAGGTCCCGAACCTTTTAGAGCTTTGTAGGTGATCACCTGCACTTTGGATTAGGACCAGAAACTTATTGGCAGCCAATGGAACTGTTTGAACAGGGGGCATATCACATTTATCAAAGCCCTTTTCCTGCAGAGCTATTTCTACTGGGTATCATGTGCCTTGAAAACCAGATGCTCCTTGTTTTGGCTCTTTTTAGGTATAAAAGGTATAGGTTTTGGTAGTTTCTATATTAACAGTGTGTTTAATCATTCCCACCTTGCTGTTTTCCTGCTCCCTGTTCCTGTGTTGGACCTGGTGGCTCATGATTTTTTAAAAAAAGATCAGTGTAGTGCTCTTCTTTCCCCCTCCTTTTATAGAAATATTAGAAACTTGTCCAACAAAATGGATGCAACCAATTTGCAATGCTGTTCCAGATATTGTCTTTGGTCCACATTATTTCCCTCTCATCTTTGGTCAAAGAGTTGGTGATGTTGTTCTCATGACTCATGTCCTCAAAATTTCGGATTTCTGGGAGTTGAAGGCCAAAACATCTGGGGACCCACAGGTTGAGAACCACTGCTCTAGAGCATTTCTGCATGATCCAGGTGTTTTGGATTTCAGCACCCAGAATTCCTGGCCATTGGACAAGCTGGCTAGGGCTATTGGGAGTTGGAGTCCTAAACCTCTAGAGGACCACTGGTTGTGCAAATCTGCTGTAGAGATAATTTGCAGGAGGAGATGGTAATGTTAGTCAACACAGGAACTGACACCTGTTACTTGCAGTGGCTACTGTCCGGTGCAGATTGAAAAACATTTCATGTTCCATACACATTCCCTAAACTAGTGAATACACAGGAATAGTGAATATAAACTAGTCATGAACCCATAACTTTAGATTAGCATTTCTAGCTGCCTTATATACCTTACATGGTAATTTGTTTACTGAAATATTTTTGTTATGTTTTATAAAACACGTTTCCTTATAACTAAGTGAAATTGTAGCCACAAGCGTGTATACCTTTAATTGCCCAATAAATAACCAGGCAGATAAATAGTCTGGATTTATTTTCTAGAGGCCCCCACTGCCTCTAGATTTCAGTACTGCTGCGGATTTCACCCGTAACCATCTTTGTGTGTTCTTTATAATTAAGGGGTGAAACTTAAAGTCATACTTTTAATTAAAGAGGAACCCTGCCACTTCTTCCAGTTTTATAAACTAGGCACTTTATAATTAAATTCTCAGTCTGTTTCCAAGAATTTCTACTTATCTCCCAGTTCAGTGTAAAAGCTTCTGTAGCTGAGCATTTGTTCTGTCTTGGATAGATAGCGGATTACTGATCTAGCAAATTTGCCTTCAAATTTTCCCTGAATTGTTTATTACATTTAATGAGCTTAAGGCAGGCGTGGGGAATAAAAAAAAGGATTGTTATAAAGTTCCCTGTTTCTACCCTCTACATGCCAACATATATGCATGGATACATGCATGCATGCATACACTTTATAGCTACTGAGAAGCTGCCAGCCTTTAATAGTGGAGCAAATTCCTGGAGGACAGTCCTGCTGTTTAGAGTAGGAGGTGCCATGGTTGGTTTCCTTCTCACACATTCTCACTTTCTTTTTTCTTTCTCTCTTAGACATAAACACATATGCATAGGCAACGATTCACGTCTCATCCTTTTTATGGAGTCAGGTAGCCATTCAGTCCCTGTTTAAAAACCTCCAAAGAAGGAGACTCCACCACCCACCAATGCAGCCTATTCCACTCTTGAACAGCTCTCTCATACATACCATCACTAAGTTTTTTCTAATGTTTAGGTGGAATCTCCTTTCTTGTAATATGAATCCATTACTCTGTGACCTAGACTCTCAAGAAGAAGAAAACAAGCTTGCCCCCTCTTCAGTGTGACAGCCAAATATTTAAAGATGGCTATCATGCGTCCTCTTAACCCTCTCTTCTCCAAACTAAACATACTCAGGTCCCTAAGCCCCTTCTCATAGGGTTTGACATCTAGACATTTCAGTTGCCCTTCTCTGGACATGTTCCATCTTGCTGATATCCTTCTTATGCTTTAATAAAAATATTGTTAGCTAGAATACTCTTGAGTCATAATCCCAAGACCATGAATGATGGATCTCTGGAAAAATTCATATTTAGGAGAGTGCAGTCGTGTGCAGCTTGGTCTCTTTCAAAATTCATTTAAGGGTCAATGCATGCTAACTATCATCTACATTTGGAGTTCATGCTGTTTGAAGTAGGGATTAGGAAGTAACCAGACAGAGTTATACTCTTGACGTGGAGCATGTCCCTCATTGACATGGGAGTGGACAAATCTTTCATTTGGATTGAATAGGGCTCACCACAGCACCACTTTTAAACAGAGGCTGGATAGAAATCTGTCAGGGATTGCATTGTGCTTTTCGTGCATGGCAGGGGGTTGGACTAGATGGCCAATGTGGTCTCTTCCAACTCTATGATTCTATGATATGACGGGGATCCCAGAAGTCCTTATATAGTTGGCACCATGTGTCTAATTTTTACAGCTATGCAAATTCGCTTGAAAACATCATTTCCCATATAATCCATGTAACGCTGGAAGCATAATATAGGCAGAATTGTGGGATGAAGGACCTGCAATAAATTGTTTGCCTTTTTATAAAAATAGATTCAGGAAAAATTGGAATGTCTCTGTTCTCTTCCATTGGTGTAAAAGGGTTACGAATGAATTTTTGGTTAGTTTTAGATTTGATTTGGTTATTTGGGCTGCTGATTAAGAAAATCGCATTGGATAGACCTCATCAGCTGTAGTTTCTGATACAGAACATATGCCATCCAGTAGTCACCATCTGCTTGCCCATAGAAAACCATATTTAATAATCTAGAGCTCTCCTCCAACAGCGGCACATACCCCCGGCGCCAAATGTCCCCGCATGCCTCACAGACCTTATTTTAGGCCTCGCGGTCCACAGGTTGGGAAGCACTGGTGTAGAAGCATATTCTTTTGTTCTAGTACAGGAAAAAGGTAAAGGTTTCCCCTTGAAATTAAGTCTAGTCGTGTCTGACTCTGGGGGGGGGGGGGGCGGGGGCGGTGCTCATCTCCATTTCTAAGCTGAAGAGCTGACATTGTCCATAAGCTCCTCCTAGGTCATGTGGCCAGCATGACTGAATGGAGCGCTGTTACCTTCCCCAGAGCAGTACTTACTGCTCTACTCACATTAGCATGTTTTCGAACTGCTTAGGTTGGCAGAAGCTGAGCCTGACAGCAGGAGCTCATCCTGCTCCCAGGATTTGAACTCCTTACCTTTCGGTCAGCAAGTTCAGCAGCTCAGCAGTTTAACCCTCTGTGCCTCTGGGGGCTCCCTCTAAAGGAAACATAGTGCTTAATTTCTAGACAATGGAAAATGGAATTACAGATTGTTAGTTTGAATTTTTCTTTTGGTTCACTTCCAGCCCTTTGAAAATGTTAATTGCTTTCTTTTATCTATACTAGAGAACATGGAATTGAGTATAATTAATTTTATAATTAATATAGTTAATTATAGTTAATTTTATACAGACAACTAAAATTTTCATTTTGGTTTCAGGTATTAATCCTCGGTATGTGCTCCGAAATTGGATGGCAGAATCGGCTGCCCAAAAAGCTGAAAAGAATGATTTTTCAGAAGTAAGATGGTCATGCTGACTTTTACCCTTTACGCTTGAGAGATCTAAAACTACATTAATGGGGAGTTCATCAATAACTGTTTAAAAGGCAGATATGTAAGTGAGTAAGATCAGCTTCATTTTGCCTTAATAATTGTAACTTCATTTTATTTTCAGGTCCGCCTCTTGCAACAGATTTTACAGTCACCCTTTCAGATGCAGACTGTGGCTGAGAGAGCTGGTTATGCACAGCGCCCCCCTGCTTGGGCCCAAGACATTAAAATCAGCTGTTCATCTTGATAAAAATATCTTGTAATCAAGATTGAATAAAGATATAAAACCTTTGAATAATGCAGAAGGACACACAAATGATATTTTTATCACATCTGTAATCTGTTGCTGCGTCTTTTGTGTCACTCAGTGGCTCTATTCTCTTCCTTCTTTCAAAGAACTATATATATATGCATTATTCTGACCATTTCTAGAAAGCCTAGTGCTTTCTAGAAATGTTGGATTACAACTACAATTTTCACCATTGTCAGGATTGGTGGAAATTGAAATTCCATTAGGCACCACTAAAAGATGGTGGTTATGCTATCTAGTGGAGTAGGCTAGATAGAATGACCACCATCTTTTAGTAAGATGATCCTGTCTCACTGCCTACTCCAATTGCCCTGCAAAATTGGCAATTTTGATTCCTCTCCATTGGAAGAATGATCTAAGCCAGTGGTTCTCAACCTTTCTAATGCCTCAACTCCTTAATACAGCTCCTCATGTTGTGGTGACCCCCAACCATAAAATTATTTTCTTTGCTACTTCACAACTATCATTTTGCCACTGTTACGAGTTGTAATGTAAATATCCAATATTCAGGATGTATTTTCATTCACTGGACCAAATTTGGTACAAATACCTGATACACCCAAATTTGAATACTGGTGGAGTTGGGGGGGGGGGTTGATTTTGTCATTTGGGAGTTATAGTTGCAGAGTTTTGTAGTTCACTTACAATCAAAGAGCATTTTGATCTCAACCAACAATGGAATTGAACCAAACTTGGTACACAGAACTCCCATGACCAACAGAAAATGCTGAAATGGTTTGGTGGGCACTGACCTTGAGTTTTGGAGTTGTAGCTCACCGACATTCAGAGAGCAGTGTGGACTCAAACAATGTTGGATCTGGACCGAACTTAGCACGAATACTCAATGTGTCCAAACATGAATACTAGTGGAGTTTGGGGGGAAATAGATTTTGAAATTCGGGAGTTGTAGTTGCTGGGATTTATAGTTCACCTATAATTATTGTGAACCCCACCAACGATAGAATTGGGCCAAACTTCGCACATAGAACCCCCATGACCAACAGAAAATATTGAGTTTTCTGATGGTCTTCGGCAACCCCTGACATCCCCTCACGACCCCTCCAGGGGCCCAACCCCCACGTTGAGAAACACTGGTCTAAGCCACTTATCTTATTATGATCACAGCAAAAGTTTCCTCTTCTTGCAGTGCCACAGTCATGAGAATAGTTAGATTCAACAGATAGTTCTTTGTATAAAAGACACCCAGATTCTGATCTAGAAGCTTGGGGAAGCTTGCGTTTGGAAAATGTTATAAATAACTATTGCCGAGGATAATTGGCACCAGAAATCAGTATTCTAAATGTTAGAACAAAATCATCCAGTAACGATCCCTTCGGTTGAAAGAATATTTTGCCTCAAGGATTATAGCATGTGTCAAGCAAAGCCTGTGGCATTATGAGAAAATCAGTGAAACTTTTAGACTGATTTAGACTGTGTGGGCTTCCTGAGGCCAAGAAGCAGTTTCCTCTTTTTATTTGCCATTTATTTGCTAGCAAAAAAAAATAATAAAAAAATGCCGCCTGCCACTATGCTGAACAGCCTAAATGGCAATGCTCATTCCATACATGAACTATTAGTTTCTTCAGGCTATTTCTGCTTCTCAATTTAAAGTCACAATGGACTGGCTTTCAAGAACTGTAACACCATAAGCCAAGGCTGGGCAAAGTGTGGCTCTTCAAATATTGTTTACACTAATCTCCACCATTGGCTATGCCAACTTAGAATGATAGGACTTCAACATCAACATTATCTGGCGAGCTCTTTGTTGTGTGCCTTCAAGTCATTTCCATCGCACAGCGGACCTGTGACAGGTTTACTGGGCTGAGAGTGTGTGACCTGCTCAAGAGGGTTTCTATGGCCAGTGGGGAATCAAACCCCAAATTCTAGTCATATTCTAATGCCATGCTGGTGATTTGTTTACCACTATCTTAAACTTGAAGGCTGGAATTCTGTTAGGAGCATACCACATACATAAGTGTCCCTTATGTTTTTGGGGGGCACTGTTACTGAAAAGGTCCTCAAGGTGTTCCATCCAGCCATTCCATGCATCACATTGAGCAGGCAGAATTGGCAAAGTTTCTGGTTACATCTGCCATAGCCAGGTACACAATAAATATAACAGGGCTGAGACAGGTGGAGGATTCATGACATCATTTTGCATCTGGCTATGGGGGATGTAGCCAGAGACTTCTCTGATCTTGCCTGTTTGCTGCAAAGCTCCAGAGCCTTATGGGGAGACAGCTTCAAGGATCTCAATGTATGTCGGGAGTGGAGAGAAGGATATACTGCTCAACATAGCGTAGATCTGCCTGCAGATATTTATGCAAAAATAAGGGTATATTAGATTGAAGTCAAAATCTGAATGTAAATAGGAAGGCTCCGGGTAATAAAGCCACTTTTCCTAGTGGTGGTCTCTAATGTGTTATTGCTGTATTTAAACAAAAAAGTAGTGCTTACTTATTAATTTTGACACCAGTGGGAAGACAGAAGAGAATTTTATTAATAAAAGTGAACACTGTCAAAAAGAAAAGTCAAGAATTTGGGTGACTCATAAATGACAGAGAGGTAGGAAAAGATTAATTACTTAGATTAAAAACTTCAAACATTTTCAGAGTTTTTAGCATTAGTACAGGTGTTGCCTGCAGGTGTTCATACTGGAATCATTAACACTTCTGGGGGGTTCCTAATCTCAAAGTAATCAAAAAATCAGGTGTGATACATTGTGATCAGGATGAATAATAGTAATGGGCAGCATCTTCAACTTTTTATTTAAATATGGGAAGCAAAAAGGTAGATCCTGGCTTAATGGTTTTTTGTAGCTCCAGCCAGTTGAGAATGGATATTTACAAAAATTTTAGGTTATCATTTTTCTGTTTCAGAATTCACACTTTTACTTCTAGAAAGTGCCTCAGCACCAGGTTCATAATGTCAATAAATTAGTCCAACTCTATGTTGCTGCACATCTCTGTCAACTAATTGCTGGATCAAATGAGGCGACACTGTAGAATCTGCCTTTCCCCAGCAGACATTTTCACCCTAAGAATCAGAAGCACTGGAAGTCCCTGTTTCAAAAAGCCTTTGAGAAAGGTTGACCTGATGAAATGACTTTCTGTACCATGTACTCCTTTGAACCACCAGGAAGTGCTTTCCAGACAATTTCTCAGGAGCATCCTCTCCATGATCCCACACCCAAGAATATAATCCGTTCATGATGTTTCACTCCTTTTCTTTTCTAATGCCTTCATTAAATCAGACATGAAATCTCCTCCTTGTCCAACTCCATCTCCCCTTGGAAGTACACTTTGCCTTGGCCTTCCTGCCTGCCCATCACTGTCTTCCTGTCTTCTTGGAGGAGGTGGGGGCTTTTTCCTGATTAGTGGAGGCATATCAGGAGCGGGGAATGAAGGTGGAGGAGGTGGTGGCATCATCATCTCTGGGCTGCCTGTGTCACCAATGTAGGAAGGCGGTGGTGGAGGAATGAAATCAGGAGGGGCTTCATAGCATTCAGGAGGTGGTGGAGGTGGTGGTGGCAGCTCATCCAGTTCAGGAGGTGGTGGCAACAATTCAGGCGGAGGTGGAAATTCTGTATCAAAAGTGTAAGATGTATTCCTTCTCTCAGTGTGAGTTGGTAAGTTCAGAGAAGTAGTTACTGCAGAAGATCGTCTTTGTGGAGGGGGTGGTGGATGCAACCCACCAGGTTTGTGCTGCCTGAATTGTGGCATGGGAGGTGGCCGTGACTGCCTGACATCCATGACACTCTCTGGCTTCTTAACCTTTTAACAAAGAAAACAATAATTCCAAAAATGTTTAGATTAAACAGATACTGCAAAACTATAGCTTTGTAGTATCATGTTGACAGGAGGAATGCATAGCTAGGAGGTTCACATTTGTACACTGTTTCAGGTAAGGACCAATTAAATGTATTTTCAAAATCATAGAATCATTGAATTGGAAGAGACCTCGTGGGCTATCCGGTCCAACCCCTTGCCAAGAAGCAGGAAATTTACATTCAAAGCATCCCTGATAGAAAGCCACCCTGCCTCTCTATTATTGGTTCCAATTAAAAAAAAAAAAGAAGTCTTGGTCCACCCACTAACATTATTTTAGCTCTGACATACATTCACTTGGAAATATGAAGCTTCAGATTAGAGTGTCATAATTCTACTGATCACCACTTAATTTAGGAAAACCTGGACTATACGATCTGTAATTAGAAAGTTTTGTTCTCATTGGAAATGCCAGGCATTTGAAACAATATAGCTGTCAAGAGAGCTTCTGATAGCTACTGATGGATAAAAAGATATTCAGTACTGTCTCCAGTCCAGCATGAGGACCTCACAACCTTTGAGGATGCCTGCCATAGATGAAGGTGAAACGTCAGGAGAGAATGCTGCTGGAACATGGCCATATAGCTCAGAAAACTCACAACAACCCAGTAATTCCGGTCATGAAAGCCTTCAACAATACTTACTAGTTTTTGATTTCTTTGCAATCAACATAATTTAAAATACCATGTGATTTTCCTGCTTCTTGTCAGGGGGTTGGACTGGAGAGCCCAGGAGGTTTCTTTCAACTCTGTTATTCTACCAAACTCTTCTGCAAATAAGTGCATTTGCCTGATATTTGGGTATCCCTTCCATATGGCATGTACCCATTATCTGTATAACATTTTCAAGTGAGGGGGAAGGACTGTTATGGGGAAATCAACTCACTTAGAGTTTCATGCACATAAATCTGGATTCAGAGTTTTTAATAACTGCCGTATAAACTCAGGTTGCATTTCTATGGTGTGTATACTACAGACTGGTGGGTGGGATTTTCTTTGCTAGCATTTTGCTGAAGTCAGGATCCTATGTATTCTGCTTTTTGTGCCAGTCAAGACACTTGGTATAACCAAAATTACTGGAACTTATCAACCTTTACTTATAAGCTGTATACAAACAGAAGAGAGATAGGATGTTTGATCTCTTGCAATGCATCCATCGTATAAGGTAA